GACAATATGGGGCAATTGGATGGTTAGATGAACACTACTCTATTTCCCACAAAAGGGGGACATTTTCAATTTGAAATGGTATGTAACTTAGGGTCAGATGAATTTAGTCCACTACAAGACTAAATTTCTTCAAACATCTTAATGACTCAGTTGCCACTGTGGAAGAATACGTTTAAATAGACCTATATCGGAATTTTCTATTGATTTTATAAATGTATTTCTTCTGCAAAACTGGTTCAGATTCACAGTTTTGAATGTCAAAGCCATCTTGAAAAAAAAAAAAAAAAAGATACTTATATAAATGGATAAGGGATATTTAGTATTATGCCTCTTTTATGAGACCACGCTTCACCACCTCTTAATGTGCAAGCCTGGAGTTACTGAAACTGAGTTACCGAAAGAGCAAGAAAGATGTCTCAGTGCAGAGGTTTCCTAACCTGGAGTATCCATCCTAAAGGCAAGCTAGCAAAGATCACAGGGAATGCTTCAGTTTTTCCACTGCGGATGTGACCAGTTTGATTTGTGCATGTACAAAAAGCATAAAACGCCTTGTATCATCAAAGGTCAGAGAGCGAACGAAGCCCATTAAGTTCTGCTGTTGCATGGAACTAAAACCCTAAAAGTCTTCCAACGAGTCATTTTACAACTCTGTGAAGAGCTGACTGTGTGACGACACAGCTTACCCAGCAGTCCTCTATTTTGTTCCACTGAGACCAATAGCAGTCCTGTATAAAGAACTGAAATGTACAAAGACTTGTACTGCATGTATGGAGTGGAATAATGCAATAATGTCCACACTAAAACAGTCCTGTGGCACCGTACATATTTATACTGTTTATTTAGTACTGATTAAGTCAACATATGTGTATGTTTAAGAAATATTTGAATCTACTTTTGCTAATTTTGACATGCCCCTTAAAGAAAATCAGGAGAGTTGGACCTCATTTGCAGCTTTGAGCACTTTAACTCAGCTTGGGTGCTTCCATCGGAGAGTACAAACCAGCACACAATTAAATCCCATGAGCTTTTAAGGCTGTGGCAATGGTTCTGTCGTGGCCCTCCTTAGCTTTGTTTATGAGGTATGACGATGAAGAAGAGCCACAGCTGTTTCACCTTTAAGCCAGCTGTGGAGGCAGTCAAAGAGCCTTTGTGTGAGGAACAGAAACATTTCCATTAGGGAAAAAGTTGGTGATGTCATTTCAATTACTTTGCGTAGCAACAAGTGTCTCACTTTGAAATGCACACTTTGGTCAGTGTGGAAAAAAAAAATATATATATGTATTGATCAGCTTTTCTCATCTTTAGTGCTTTTTTTTTTCAAAGGCTAGTATGCTTATGGTTTAGAATTCAGCTCCATGCAATGCTGTCACTTTAACCAGTCTTATGCAGCTTTTACAGCCCTTTTGTTTAAGATGCACACATAGGTAACCTTTATCTCCTATAGAATGGTGTTTCCTTACTATTTTTAATTTTAGAATATTTTTAGATATGTAGTACACTGTTTTAGTATAGTTATATTCTTAATTCCTCAATCACTTCTCCTAATATACAAAGGAAAGGTTTCGGATTTTGCGGCATTTCATGAGACTTGAATTTATGATTCGCCTTTGGAGTGTTTGTTTAGTCAGTCTGACCCCAGGTTAAGTCTTTCTTACCATTTCTCTGTATCTTTGCTCCTTATGGCATCATTGCACAAACATTGTGCTGCATGAGAATGAGCTTCCATGTGCATGAATATATTCATGCATATCCGCCTTCCCACTTGCCAAGCAGGTCTTCTTTCCATGGTTGGTTCCAACCAACTTACACAGAAGTTACCCTAAACAGTGTGTGTTCAGACAGGACTCACTTGAAACTTTATGAACCCTTTTGCAGCATTGATGTACACTGTACGGCATTATATAAGAGTTAAATATTCTCTAACCTTAACATCAGTTGTGTATTTCTACATGTACAGCAGTACGAGTATTTGTTTGATGTATTCAAAAGATGATTTGATATGTTTTCTACAGTCATGAATTTTGCAAGGGAAATTCTGACTTTTGCGATTATTTGGGGTAAGAAATTCCTTTAAACCAGTTGCCAATGCACAGTTCTGTTGCTCTTACAATTTAAATAATCAGTTCCGACTCTGATGCTTTGTTAAGACAACCAGTCGGCATTTAAAATACTTAATGGAAAGTGTTCAAGAGTCTATTTCCCTTTTTTTCAAATTTTGTGGTTGCTTCTTTACATTCGAATTACAGAGAGTTTACTTGCAAGAATCATGTTCCTCCAATGGGCATACTCTCAAGAATGGGAGGGGGAGTGCAGTTATGTGCAAGACAGGCAAGTATATTTAGATTAAATCATTTTTCATGATGGAATACATCAGTTGAATTTGTAAGAACCGCTACATGTTTCTTTCAAGGATTTTCCAGACTTGTTACTTGCAGATTATGCTACGTATATGTCTCCGAAATGCCTCAGGTATCTATAAAAGTTACTATACTAATTATAGTTCCCTCACAGCTGGCAGAGCTTGTTCAGAAAGTCAAAGATGTCTCTAAATGGAGTGATTGCAATATTTCTTTCTTCGAAATAAGTCACAACATATCATAGATTTTTTTTTTTTTTTTACACTATGTGGCTCCATTTGGCTTGCTATGTCTTCAATATTCGTGGTTTGGATATGTTAGTCTTTCAACTGGAGAAAAAAAGAAGTTATCAACATAGATGTGAGTGACTGGAAGCAGATAGGCTGTGAATGAGCTGTCCATCAATCTTGCTGGTGCAGTGTGTTGGAGGAGACAGCTGGAAAGGCAGTGAACTTGCACATATCACTAACAGACTGACAGATTTATGTTGTGTTCCCCCGTTCAAACAGATGAAAAATATTCCGAACAGTGAAACACTGTTATTTAATCATTTATGTCTGGGGTGCTAATAAGAAATTCTGTTGTTGGGCCATCAAGTGGACATGTTTCATTTAACTCTGTCATACTGGGTTCCTCATAACAAGCTCAAGTGGTGGTGGTTGTTATTTTCTGTAAGTGATGGTAATCATGATGAAATGTGTGACAGCACAAAGTATGAAGCGCTGAGCACATATTGCCCCCCTTTGTTATGTAGCACAGCACGGTATCAATGGATCTTTTAGTCTTTAAAATCAAGCACTGGAAAGTGCCAGAATTTATAATGGAAAATAGAAAGCAGAACTTCACATAATTGTTTTTTTAAAAATCAGACAAGACACAAGAAGACAATCTTTTTTTTTATTGTGGGGAAGAAAGAAACAAGAACTATATCTTTTTTCCTTCTTCCTGCATTGGGAACATACACTTCAACCCCATCACTCTCACACCGGCTTTCTGGGCTCAGGGCCACAGTGAGCTAACCCCATTCTGGTTATTGGCCATTGTGAGCGGGGGAGAGGTGGAAAAAGACAGACATCCTTGGCAACACGTATTAAGCAGCTTATTAAGCCGTTTTGGATTAAGGCCAGATCATAACGGCAATGAGCTGTAGCTCTCCCTGCAGCCTGTGTCCTGCAGACGGTGAGGCGATATGATTAATGGACCCTGTGAGCCGTACTGTTGTGCTCAAGTTGCATGAAGCCTGTAATATTGGCTGCACCTTCGCCGAGTTCAAAACCCAGCAGTCTGAGGCTTTGATTTACCCCGCACGCATCCAGCTGCAGGACGAAACACACTCCTCTTGCTGTTTTGCCTACAGCCACTTTCCCCCTAACAGCGTCCAGGTCGTCTGCCGCAGTGCTCTTGGATAAATGGTTACACAGTGTGATTATACAGGCGCTTGCACGAAAACAGTCTCGGTTCTTACGTAGAACAAACCCAAACGTAACAAGCGAAGGAGGCGCACCTTGAGAGTGAAAGCACAAGTCACAGAGAGAGAGAGAGGGCAAGGTGAGCGGTCCTCGTTATCACAGAGCATGATTTAAAATGCTGTCCTCCGATGGGGTGTCCGTTACCAGTTCACTGCACACAGTCGGGTCAGGCTGAATGGCAGGGCCGCACTCTGTCCTCGGCCACTTCGTGTAGCCCCAGGGGAGTGTGTTGGGGTCGTATCTCCTGGCAGATGGGACAGGTGTGTGTGGAGAGACGCAGCCTGCTCGCCTGCCTGGAGGGCCACGCTGTACTAGTAAATACTGCAGAGTTATGGGGTCCTTGCACATGCTCAGGGCAAGTCCAGGTCAGCTGGGATCTGTTTATGCGAATCAGGGTGGGCGGTGTGGGTTGTGTTTATGTGTATGCATTCTTCTCTGTGTGTGTGTGTGAATGAGGGGTTATGTTGTAAGGGAGAGAGATTGCAGAGACCAAATACAATGATTATTTACACGTGGCATGCTTTTTCATCTTCGGCTCGGGGCGTGTGTATGGGTGTGTACGCGGGGCTGTTGTCGGGCCACGTGGACATCTCTGGTACAACACAGCCATGACTCCAGAGAAACGCTCTCCAGATGTGTTTGTGTGTTTTGGCCCCATTTCCTGCTTGACTGTGGGCCAATCAGCCTGCATGTAAATCATTATACCTTCATGGGAGCGTTTGGTTATGTAGCACACTTTTTGCTCAACATGCATCCTGTCTTTTAGTCTTAAGAATTAAGGTTTCTTTTGCCATGTGGTCATATGTCCACACACCATAGTGCAATCCCTGTACTGATTTCACTCCATGTGTGTGCAGCAGCTGCCCAGTCAAAGGCTAACCAGATGGACAGGATAATGGCTATGATCAGACTTTATAGACTTACTCTCCTTAATGAGCGACGTTCAGGTTCATTCATATCCCACCAACTAATCTTGCATCATAATACATAATTTACACATCAACTGTGACTGACTCATAAATATACATCAACACCTATTCAGGAGGTGAGTGCAACACACAGCTGTTGGAAAAGGGTGCACTCTTAGTGAAATACTTACGTCCTCTGTCTTTTCCTGTTTTCTCTTTTCCCCCTCAGCTGGTAGTGAGGTGCTGTGTTCAGAGGGGGTAAAATCATGTGGCTTCTCTGCTCCTCACTGACTCTGCTGGCCCTCAGCTTTGGATCATGCGACATTTTGACATCCGAACAAGGTAAATTGCCCTCTTTCATTTATTTGATGTGATTACTTTGCATACATATTTTGTAATGTGGACGCTATTTTCTCAACCTACCTCATTTAAGAAATGTTTGATATTTGGCAATGCTTTAGACAAAACTTTCTGCAGACCAGAAATCAAAGGTGTGACAAAATTATAATTTTTTCTAGATATAACTACTTTCCCTCAAAGATTAGCTTGGTTGAACCGTCCTTGTCTCTTTGTGTAATCTTAAGTGAGAAATAAGAAAATAGTCGTAAAAAAGACTACCAGAGTTGCTATCTGTGAAACCATTTAGCATTTAATGTAATTCCATCTGTCTATGTGTGTGCCATGAGGCCTGAGGCTGTAAGGAAAACCATGTAATTGTAGCTTGTGTAGCCGTTGGTGGCTTTGTGGTTCAGGGTTTCGTGGTGGCAAAGTTGTTCTCCTTCATGAGCCATCTGTCATTCTGAGGTTGTCTGTTTGTATAGACATATAAAAATGTGTTGCATACATGCAGAAACTCTTGTTTATCATCTCTTGGAGTGTTGGAGAGGATGTGAAATGTTACTATTTGTACCGAAGCAAAACGTGTAAGAGTGTTTGTGTGTGTGTGAGACAGAAACACACCATCCTGATTCAAGATGCAGACAGGTGAAGAATAATCTCTTTTGTTGTCTTGTTTTATTTATTTATTTTGCTCTGAACTGTCATACTCCCTCATCACGCTGTCACGATGTTCTCAGGGGCCTGCTCTGTGATATCGCTTTGGGGGAGTGGGGAGCAATCCTCTATAACTGTTGGAGCACTGAAGGGAGTTTTGCGGAAGAGGTGGTGCCCCCTGGGAGATCGTAGTCAGAGAATCTCAGATGAAACTGAGTCAGATTGCAGTTCCCCCGATTCCCTCCCTCAAGGGGTCGGAAGGAAGTGTTTTCCCAAGTGTTGCTGTAACACTTTGTGGCACCACAAACACACACAGGCCCTGTCACTACTCTTCCAACTGATACAAATACCGACAGTAAATCATAACAAACCATACCCTGTTGAAATTCTATGCAAAGTGGTCACCTACCCATCTAAGTGGCCCACCACTGGCAAGCCAGAAAACCATGACTTCTTGATGCCATCAAGGAAGGAGTATAATTTTCCCGAGAAAAAACGAGGTTATGATGTTGGGCAGTAAACTCACCAGTTGGCACATGTAGCTGAAGGAATCTCTTGTTGCTTTTAAGAAGAATAAAGCCTTAAAAAAGACATAGTTGGCTAGGCCAGTTTAGTGGGTCCCAGTTGCCACTGGGTGAGAGGAGGACAGACCCCGAATAGGTCACCTCCTGCGTTAAATTAAAACCATTTCTAAATCTAAAACACATGTTTTGAGCTGTCAGAGGACGTTGGAGTACCATGGGAACACCCACGCATTCACAGGGAGAACATGCAAACTCCAAACACAGACAGCCCATTCAAGAATATAAGTAAGGACCGATTTACTTAAATTCCATTCTTCTGCCTATTCGGCCATATTGGATTAAAGTTCTTAAAACTGCCTGTTGTGGACCAGCTGAAGACAGTGTTATCTCGATGATCTTCAACACACTATTAACAAACCTCATAGTATAATTACTAAAGTTACACTCTTGCTCCTGCTCTGACCAGGCCAGTTTGATTGGAAAGACTATGAAAGACAAAGATAATTATCAGTTTTCCAGAATGACTCTTTATTTATTATGTTCTACACCATATAAATCTAACCAGGTTCACGTATCAAACAGTATGTGCCTATATACCGCCACGTGAGCAGCATTACAGTCTTAACTGTTTAAATTTACTAATGTAAAAAGCTTCAAAATGTTTCATGAGTCAGTCTGTAGTCCATGTGAGCTTGTAAGTACACACTGAGAGAAAGCCAGAGGCCTACAAGGGGAAAATGAGTGAGTTCATCCCCCAGAAGTGCTGTGTTTTAAGTCTTTCCACTTCTACTGCAGTTTTATCTCTGGAAACTAACCAGGAATGCTCTCTGCTGCCTGTCTCATGTGCCTGAACGGGCAAGCCAGACTAACTGTCTCGATCCCTCTTTTTTTAAAACAATAACTAGACAATAACAATAAGTTTGTTGACCGTGACTAGTTATTGTTTTGAATCATGCTCTTCTTTACCCAACATGACACTTTCCTTCCCAAATATTGATGTGACATGGGAGAGTCTGGATATGGGGGACTCCCCCATGTATTTTTTTTCTTTTTCTTACTCCAGTTATCTCAGAAAGCCACACTGTAAAGCTTATTAAAGGGCAAACATGATCTGTTCTAATTCCAAACTGCTCATTGTAAAATGTGAGAAGATTCTGACTGCTTTCCTTTCCATCAATGCATTGTGCAGTCTTTGCTGTAAGGAAGAAATTAAACCTTTGATCTTTCTGATCTTTGCTGTAATATAGGCCACTGTTGCTAAAATATTCAATATATTTAATTTTAAATATTAATGCATTTCATGTCATTCATGTCATGTTAATGTAATGTAATTAACATTATTCATAACTATTGGTATAGTGGTATCATACATTGGCAAAACTCTCACATGCATCAAAGAGGAAGTAAATCCAGCCAAAACCATCCAATCTCTTTAAAGGCTACATGCTGCAACTAGCAGGATTCTGGAGAAGCACTCACACTTTGTGCTAATTTACTTGTCAACAACCAAAAGCTTTCCTTTGATCGCAGCTTGAAAGGAAATGGGGTTCGAGTTATGCAGTGTGTCCTCTGCCAAAGTGCCTAAGTGCTTGACAACGGAACAGTCCACTGAAATATCATCCATCCTATGACTTATGCAGAATATGTGCTTTCCACCCATGTCTGTGAGCAAATGTCTGACACATGGACAAGTAAACACAGAATCTTATTTGATTCTCATCTTAACACACCTGCAAAACCCTGCGAAGCTACAAATATGTTAACCAGTGATAAAAGATCAGCAGCTGTGACATAGCCAGGGAGTAGCAATGTATTCAATCTATAGGCTTACAACAGTAGCTGTCTAAGCATGACGAGTATTAGGCAGCAAGTGCATGCTCATTTCTTATAGCTGATATGCCAAAGGAAATCAGGCGAAAACCACAATACAATTTATTTCAGGTCTATCTACGGTAACAAATCACACAAAAGTGACAAATATACGGCCCAAGTCAGTAACAAAGAAATGGAGTGGAATACACAATTCAATCAATCTCAGTTCAACTTTGTTGAGAAGAATAAATATCTATACATTATGCGCAGGTTATCAAATATATATTGATTAAATTATTTCAGTACCTAAATCACTTAAGGTGTATGTTTTTCTTCTGAATTTTTGTTTTGGTTTAAATGTAGAAGTCTTAAGTGTGACCAACCTAACACAGTTAATTTAGCCTAAATATCAATTCGCACAACACACCCCAACACTACGTCCTTTCTTCTTCATGTTACGGATTTTTTTATTCTTATCTGTAGCCTGGATCTCTCCACTTCTCAGAAAAGATTACCTTGTCAGATAAAAATAGAATGCTACTGAAAGAAGAAATGAGACCCAAAAAAGCACAATAATCAGTGAAATAGGTAGATAATGTTTTCTTCTTAAAAAAGAATCTTTCAGAGAGGGACATGAAGAAAAACTCCCGGTACAATGGTATGAACGTGCATGTGAATATTAGCGATGCTGAACACTCAAATTGGCTGAATCGGCACGTACGGTTTCAAGATGGACTTGTCAAGTTATAAATACAGTATCTGAGAGACCGAGCAGGTCTCAGAAAACTTCAGACTAGAGCTGGATGGTTTCTCTGCTAAATCTGCTGTTCAGTCCAACTCCGGTAATTTCTTTGACTTTTCATTTCAAGTTTCTATCGGCCTCCCATAAGACAAGAGCTTGACGTTTATTTTCCACTCCATGATTTGTACTTGTAGACAGCAATAAGAAAACGATATACTGGGCAGTAAGACAGGATGAAATGTGCTTTGCTTTTAAATACTGTCTCCGTTATTTTGAATCTGAGATGAACAGAAACTGCATGGTGTCAAATGAGGGTTCAATAATAGGAGATGAAGCCCTAAAAAGGATTCCATTTGTCTTTGAGCTGGTCTCCGTGAAATTAAATTTCTGGCTCATAATTAAAGTCAAATGGGTGTTATTATTTTAGTAATTATATTATACCATTTCAACTAATTTTGATGCTGAATAAAGTTTGACACAATAGAAACTGTGTGCTGCTTTCACTGCTTCATCATAAGACCTTAATGTTTGATATCTAATACGTACCTAAAGCTTTTCCTCTGGCTGACTTCTTAAGTCGTCTTCTCATCAAAGAAGTTAGGGAAGTGAATACAATCTCTCTTCCAGTTATAATAGTATTAACTTTGTATGTGGGCTGAAAAACTATTTAAACCTATTTGAAAAGGTCTGTGGACAAATGGAATACAAAGCAGAGTACAATGAAATAGAACAGTCATTTTTGGAATCATGCAGTTATTTCCATAATTGAACTGATTGTAAAGCCGCAGCAGACCTCTTCCTTCCTTCAAAACCATTTGGAGAAGTGGTTTGAACACGTACAAGGCAGGTGATTGGATGCAAAAATCAATCTAATCAACAAACCTGTCTCATGAGACACGGTTAGTTATGAGCAGCAACTTGCCCTGAGATAAAGATGGAGTTGTACGCCCTCAAAGCATGGCAAGGGGAGTTTAATGGTTTGGTGTTGTTTTGTAAACTTAGGGACAATGTATCTTTGAGTTATTGTTTCAGTCATTAATTCTTTATCATCTTAGTTTTCGTTGACCTCTCAGCATTCTCATTAACATTGCTGGCTCATAAAGACATCTTTTGAAAAGATTAAATAGGGGGGCAATAGATTGGCCAGTTCACAGTTATTGATTTTATATCTCCAGGACATGATGTTGGATGATTAAATCACTTAAGCATTAGATATATGTAAATAAGTTGGAAAAGAATTTCAGAGGCTTGTAAATCATGTATAAATCATGTATAATTCCAATGGCAAGTTTTTGTGAAAGGAGATTCAATTAGCAAAGGGGTTATTTACAATTTCCTGTCAAAAATGTGGCATCAGTTGTTACTTTTGTGGACTAAATGATTGAAAAAGCCAATTAGATTTCGGTATTGCTTAAGTGTATCATTATATGTTGGTGTGCAAATGCAAAGAAATGCAAGTCCCTTTCAAAATGGGTCCTTTTGCACAATTGTACACCTTACATTTGCTCAAAAATAGTAAAATAACTTAGGCACTCTCTCTTTGCTTTGGCCTACGTCAGATAAGATTAAAATATCTAACCTTGAGCGCTGACATAAGGCAAATATGAATGATTTAGGAGATTACTGACAGCAACTCCTCTCAGAGATAATTATGAAGTATTTTTTTGGGCAACACAAGGCACCATCTGCTTCAAGATTCTCTGCAGTCATGGTTAAAAAGAAAGGGAAAAAAAGTTCCACTTGCTTTTTTAGTTTTTTTACCCAGGGCCATGGTCATTGGCCCCAAAGAGATCAATTAACCTTGGATCACTGTGATTCACCAGGGTTCATGTCTACCTATACTAGTCAGATAATTCTTTTTTTTTTCTGCACACCTCCACCCCAGCAGTCAGACAGGCTGCCCTGACAAGCAACACTTCTCTCTGCAACTTTCCCTGACAGGGTGAGAACATATCCATCAAAAGGAGGCTACCATGACAGACAGGCGTGGTGCGAGACAACCTGTCAGATCGGCTTGTTTTTCACACTGCACAACTTTGCCCTCATTTCATCTCTCTGCCCATGTTTTACACCTTTCTTTAAACTCTCTTTCAACCTCCCCAACTCATTCTCTCTTACTACCAGATAAATGTTTCAGTACATCTCCGGTGTATGATTGAAGTTGCTGCTTGTTTCTTGCACATGCTCGATCCATTTCTCTCGGCAGGAAGCGTCAAAGGTTATGTCTTCCATAGGTTCTCCAATGATTTACTTGCATCCCAGGAATGATGCTTCAGGCATCAAGCTGTACTACCTTCTTCTTTCTTATTCCTTCATCGCTTCCTGTGCCATCTCTCTTTGTCTCACAGGTGCACAATGCCCATTCTTACAAGTGGAAGATTGGAGGTTTCCTCAGACGGATCGGCAAAATATCACAGGTAAAAACCTCAAACGCACATATTGCTATCTTGGTTCAGTACATCTAACATTCTGACGACTACTCTGTATCGGCAGGTTTTAATCTGGTGAGGCGATTTTCCCTGTACAAGAACGCTGACGTCAGGAAGATCCGCAACCCTCGCGGTCCCGTTATCCTCCGCATTGGCAAGACGGCACTCCTGCGACCCAGCGAGTAAGCTTGTGGCCTGTCCTATTTCTTTGGGCCCCCGCTCACTTCCCTGACACCTTTGGGGAAATGTCTCACACAAGGTTGTTGTCTAACCTGAGCTTGTAGAGAATGTGTTTCATGATTGGAACTAAAAGGAGATTTTGTTATGGATCTCAAGCTTTCTTTGGGCCTGTATTGACAGGTGTTCTTTTTTCATGCCATATCTGAAAAAAAAGGATCACTGCGAACACCCTCCAGCTGTTCAGGCTCTCTGAACATGCTGATGCTTTCTTGTGCCTTTTATTAAAAAAAAAAAAATGACAAAAGAATTCAGCATGGCGGCGGTCGGCCATTGATGGCATTTCCAAAGCCACTTAATTCTCCTCAGCACTGACACTGGCTTGTAAAACTGAACCCTAACAGCCTTTTGGCTTCCTAATATTACTCTTTTTTATAAGCTCTCATAATTACTTTATTTTTTATCACTGATCAGAAGCCTTCAAATGGCTTCAAATTTTGATGTCAAAATTTGTACGTGTGATGCAGTCGTCTATGAAAATGTACATGTTTTAGAAATTATCCGATGGACTTAAGAACTTGCTCTGAACTTGCTTGTAGTCAAAGAGACTAGCAGTTGTAAATGTAGCCTCTATAGTTATCCTTCCATGATGTGTCCATGCTGAGGTCATGTTTGACAATCCATAGCAAATCCTTAATAGGTGCTCTTTGTTTTTGTTCTCTTTTTTTTCTTCTCTTTGTCCCCCTTTTTCCAAACACAACTCTTGGGAGTTTCAGACACAGTTCCCAGGAATAAAGCTGTTTTTTCCTGAAGTAGCCAAATGGGTCAGCACGGAGGGTTTCATCACTCTGTTGTTGCAGTGTCTGAGCACACTTGAAGATAAATCTGCCCGAAGGAACACAGTTTTCGCAGAGACATTTGGTCCTGAAAGAGTCACAAATATTGCTTGTCATTGTCTTGGAAAGACACTGATGTTATGAAAAGAAGGGAAATCACTTAGAGAAAAAAAAGAAAAGGATAAAACAGAACAACTCTCACATCTCAGGAAACCAGCATCTGTGGAGCCAAAGAGGAAAATATACGACCTCTTTGTTTTTCCCCCAAATCAGACAGAGAGGACAGGGAAGCTCACTATCTATCTTTTGTTTTCTCCTCCTATTGGATTTTGTTACTGTGAGGCTTTTTATTGAAATTTTGATTCCAGAGAGCTTTGCTGTCACTTTTATCAGTGAGGCATGCTACCTGGGTGACTTTTGTTTGACTGAGACAGAAAATAATCAATGTTAGAACATCAGGCTCTCCTGTTGGCTGCCTTTCATTCTCTCTCTCACGGTGTAGAAGTCCCTGTCTTTTGTTTATGTTTTCTACAAGGACTCTACAAAATTGGATATTTTTCTTTTGTATACATTTTCTATTCATTTTCTTCCAATAAAGACAGTCACTTTTAACAAAACAAAAAAAAAAACTATAGAAAAAGCTAGAACATTATTCATAGAGATAAAATCAACGCAAACATATTACTATCTTATAAACTCTGTTTTCAGTGGGTAAAAGGACAGCACACTTGTGAAAATAATGCATTGGAATTGTGTTGCCCTCCCTGAGTAAAGCAAATGCAAAAAAGCTGCATTTGCTATCATTAAATTGATGTTTTATTGAGATTTTCAAATTGCTATTTACGTAATTACATAGGAGTAGAGGGGGGCTTCTAAATTGGTATAGTTAGAAAAGATTCATGAGTGAGCCAAGGTGACAGCTGCTTAGAATCGGAGGATCTAGAGGAATAAGTCAAAATGTTTCTGTGAAAGCTAACAGATAGCTCACAGGCTACAATGCCATTCTTCCACTATTACTGCAGTGCTCCTGTATTTTTTTTTTCTTTTATCATGCTTCATTCTGGATGTACTGAATATGAAATGCATAGGCTGAATATGAAAGTTATTTTCTAAAAATAAGTCTTCATGTCGGTCATCCAGAAACTCAGCTGAATCCTTCATATGCCAAGCGTAGAATCTCCGACACGCAGTTTGTAGCTAGTGGGCCACTCCAAATAATAAATACCAATATCGGGAAATGGTCAGGCTAAATCACTTTCGTATGTCGCATTGTTACATTGGTGAGGAGAGCTTCACACACACTGATGGAGGTATTTTTCATGTAAAATCCTGCATAATCCATGCAATGCGGGGAGTGAAGATGTAGAGCAGATTTAGGTATTCATGCAGAGTGAGCATATCAAAGATAATACGGAGGTTCATCTGCTTAATCAGAGCCATTCTTTCCAAAATATAAACTTAGAATTTAACTTCTATCATTCCCCTGAAGGATACATATGGAGACTGCATGCTGTGTGAAGCACGTTTTTTTAAAACCTCTTTAGAATAAGACATCTTACATCAGTTTTTTTTTCCTCCACCATGGTTCCAATATATATATATATTGTATTTGAGAAGCAGGTTAGTAAATGGCTTCCCTACAGCTAAGCCTCTCTATCACTCTGGCAGCTTTTTAATTAATCACCACTGAGTTTGATTGAAGTATTAGACGTGTGTACAGTAATTGGAAACCAGCGTTTTGCTTCGTATCGGAGGCTAATCCATTCACAGAATCCAGGCTAACAAATGACTGACAACCAGATGAAGCTGCTTGCCTCTCGCCTCTGTCAGTTGTCTGCTGACAGAGAAATAGACACCTTTGACAGCTGGTCACATGGATTTCACACTCAGACAAATGAGATTTTCTCTTTCTGGCTGTTCCTTTTTTGAGCGGCAACATTGTGTAGGAGCAACTGTGACATTATGGCACGAGGCCAAGATGAACGTTGCTCATGACAGAAGAGCCAAGCATTTACTGAATCATCACCAAGGCAAATTTACAGCTTGTTTACACGTTGTTGCTCTTAACAAGAAATATGAGTCAATAACGCCAACTGTACACCTAAATTAGAAGCAACGAAAAGTAAAAGTGCGTGCTTGTAAAGAGTTTCTGTCACCACTGACAAATCATTAAGTAAAATAGGGGAATGCGATGAAAGGAAAAATCTTAAAGGAATAACTGTGATTGCATTTGGAGGATAAATACAGATGACTTTGTGAGTTTTTTAGGGTTATAAATCTACATACATCTGCTTCAGAAGGGAAGAATGTGCGACACTCGATGCATCCAGATTAGCTACTACACGCTAAATGGTAATTTAATGCTTACTTGCATATTGTTCTAATGACTAAAGATGAGAGTGAAATTCTGCCCTCGGGGTGGGAAAAGAGAATCTTCTAACAACTTTGGCCGTCTTTATCAACGCCATCATTTACCTTTCATTCCTTCCTGTTGGTTGAATATAACACACTCAGAAGGCCTTACTGCTAAAAGCAACGGATGCCAGCTGACTCTACATGTCTACATCTGATATTCCAGCCTTAAACTTGAGATCTGCCTTTCAACCATTAGTTTTCCTCTCCTGTAACTTTCTGACTCACGCATATTTTCCTCTGCTGCTATATCCTTTTTTTTTTTTTCAACTTTTCCATTTTTTTTCTTCAACAAGAATGGATGAAGTTACTTTCTCGGAGAGCTGGGAGAGGCTAAATCTGAATGTTACCGGCCCACACTGAGCGATTTATCTCCTCACTGTTACTGTGTGTTTGTGCGTGCGTGAGGTTTGATTTTTCAAACCCGGAATGTAATAGGCCAGGGTGCAGAGCATCTACCTTAAAAAGTCGATAGTTGAGTGGTTTTGTGCCCTGCAGCTCAGTGCTCTAATCAACAAGAACAGCTCTGTTCCTCTATCCGATCCTTTCGCATACTTTAACCCTCCCTTTTCAGATTGTCCAACTCCACAGTTGTTAGTCAAATTCTTGTTAGTTTTCAGTTCATGCATAGAATTTCGTGGTCCCTCGACTCTCTGTCATTCCTTCCTCCTGCTGAGTTTTTTGTCTTTCTCACCTTTTTCCACCACTGGTCCTGCGTTTGTCTTGACGTGCTGTGGTTGGCTGTTTTCCCCTGGATCTCCCCCCAGTCATAAATCACTGCCACCCCACTTCTGGGATGGGAAACAAGCTGCCAGCATCAACAGCTTTGCCTACTTTCCTGTCTGCGTGCGCGCAATAAGAAACAGAAAGAACAAAATGGAGCGGATGGAGAGAATATTTCATAGTGTTTACCATCTCGGTGAGCATGCGTTTCACAGGGCTGGGAAGTGAACTCTTTATACCTCAATACATAAGCGCACCTTTGTAGTCTGTTTATGCCTGTATTCTATGTTGCATTGGTGGGTTTATATGCCCTTGACCAGAACTGAGGGATGAAGCCTGTCGGACTGTATCTGCTATGAAAATTAGTTCCTGAGGGTCACAAACAAGGGCTTTATAGTGTAGTTCTGTCTGCTGTGCTCTTGAGGGCACATAGTAAAAATGGACTAACTTTTCCAATACTTATTTGTTAATAATGCGGTTCCACTGGTTGAAGCCAACAAAGTGTTAAAGGAATGACTAATTCAGTTTGATTCAAACTCAGAAGCTGTAAAGTAATTTAATAATGCATTACAGATGTTTAAAACATTAACTTGTAAAAACAGCCTGACACTAACACATTTTTTCTGTTGACTGATTCCTCATCAGCAGTGATGATCCGGCATACCAAACAGTTTGATCAGCTTCAGAGACGAGATATATTCATATGCTTATACTTTAACTGCACTGTCATTGTGTGACAGCCTGGTGGCTGTTGGTAAAAACAGTGAACGTTATGCTGCAATTTGGTGCTCCAACAGCTGTTGTTGTTTTGCTCTGGTCAAATTAGTTATCCTCATTTTTTGTTATCAAAGCACTTCCATGACTATTATTATCATTGTGTTTTCCTTTTTTACTCAAAGTGACAGCAGCTGATCCTCAGATGTCTTGACTTCTATAACACGGTATAACTTAAGCTCTAAAAGGCTCTGGATTTCCCATTAGCTTAAACTAAGTAATGTTGTCACCCATAATATCATGTTATGTGGAAAAACCAAACCTGAAATAAAGAGATTTATCGGTAGAGTTGTCAACTATAGCTCAAAGCACCTTCAAGATTATCTTAACATTTTATTCTTTTAATTCTCTATTTAATCAATTAATGTGTTGTTGTTTTTTATTCCATTGTGTTATAGAAATTTCACGCATTTGTAGAAAATTCATTGTAAAGACAGTGAAGTTGGAAGTCTGATCTTTCAGATCATCTAACCTGACATGATACTTCCATCTTGTCTGACCCCTCTCAACAATTCTTTTCCAGTCAGGTCTTCCCTCAAGGTTTACCCGATGAGTTCACGCTGGTCTTCACCCTGGCTTTGAAAAAGGCTGCCCTGAGGGACACCATCTACCTCTTTCAGATATCTGATCAGCAGGGATACCCACAGGTGCAGCTCACTCTTGGTTTCCTCATCCACCCACTTTGCCCCGTCCTGCTCTTTCCTTCTGTCTACACCCCTCTCTAATTCCCCACTCTCAACTCTCTTCATTGATCTTTCACCTTTTAATCATCCCAGTTTTTTTCCTCCTCTTGCACGCTCCCACTCATTGCGCTTTTGCATCGTCATCCACTTTCCCTTTCGATTTCTTCTCTCGTGTGACATCTTTTCAATTCCCTCCCCCCTTTCATCCCATTCGCCTTTTGTCCTCTCTTATTTTTCATCGGACAAGCCGCCTCTCTCTCCCCCTCTTTTCGTCAGTCCACCTTCAATCATCTCCTGCTCTCCTCTTTCATTCACCTTCATTGTTATTCATGTGTGTTCCATGATAAAGCACTGGAGTCCCTCAGAGTCCCGATAATCACTAAGAGTCTGAGGCCAGATTTAAATACTTTGCGTGTATGATGGATGGAGGCTAAGTTGCCTCATTAGGAGTGATTGATTAGCTGTACTGCTTGTGTGTGTAATTAATATGTCTTCCTTTTTACTTCATCTTTACTGCTGCGTTTCTACTGCTTTGTTTTAGGCAAAGTATGTGTGAGTATTACTCTGTCCAATCCCCTGCGAATCCAACAACTTGAGAAATAACTTATTTTGTGCTTAGATTTAATTGGTTAACCCCCCCACCCCTCTCTTCTTTATATCCTCCACTTATCCGTGTCCCCTTTCATCTCCATCCAAAACGCAGCTCTCAGTGGACCTGAGTGGCCCTGATGGCACCCTGTCTCTTCGGGCCAGAGGGGTGGACCCCCTGGCTGACCTGGTCAGCTGCGTTTTCAGCGGGGAGGGGGTGGAGGCCCTGCTGGACCTCCGTTGGCACAAGGTGGCCCTGAGCGTGCGGCACGACGCTGCCTCGCTCCACGTGGACTGCAGCTCCATCGAGACCAAGCCCCTTGAGCGTCGAGGGCTTCTGCCCATTGACGGACACACACTGCTGGGAGTTCAGGCTTCAGATGCTGGACCAGCACAGGTATGGCATCAGCAACTACAGCTTTGTTTTATTCAAAGTCACTATTCCATGAAAAGCAGCTGGCCCAGACAGGAGGATTTTTTTGGTCCGCTGTTGAATGGAATTGAATGGCTAACCGTGTTGAGCTTAGAATTCAAAGCCGGTCGGATGAGGAAAGAAAATTAAGACAAATCAGCCTTGGCTGCTTTTATAACTTTGTTTCAGGCCTTGTACAGTGCTGCCATTGTTCATAATATATATTTGTCCATCAGAAATTGAAGGCTCGAATAAACCTCTTTAAAACTAATGTATGGACTTTTGCAGCAAACAAAATACTGAATGATTTAAAATGCTACGCATATGTGGGAAAGAAAGAAAAAAAAAGTTAATGCTTTGGGCCCTGTGATAAATTAGATTAAATACACACGGTATGACGGCCCTGTCTTGCGGTTTAAATGTCACCTAAAGTTACTATTTGATCATATGGTGACCTTCAGTTTGTTTCCAGATGAAGCACAAACAGCATCAGAAAGCGTTATGAAAGAACTGAGTTCTCCTGATTAGATCAGCAGTGTATGGAAAAGCTGTGTAATATGATTCAGAATGCCTTCACCATGAAGAATATTAATGACACCTCACTCTCTATTCAGGAATCCATACAGTGGCATTTCTTTTAGGAGAAAGTTTGCATTTAATCATTTCTTAATGATCAAGTTAATACTTCATCATTTTTTGATTGCTGAATTTGTTGTCCATTAATTTTTTGTGTATACAGTTAGCACACACACACATACATACAGGTGAACCTTCTGCCAAATAATTATCTTGATGCTTTGTATGAGTTAGAGATTAATTTGCCCCCAGCCTTGTGTTCTGCCTCTTTTAAGCTTCTGACATAATTAATGCACAGGACTTGAAGTGCTGCGTGTAATGAGTCCTACATCTCAACTCTCTCTCCATGCTTTCACAGATGGATATTCAGCAAGTGATGCTGTACTGTGACCCTTTACTCGCCATTCAAGAAGCCTGCTGTGAGATACCTGGTGCACGGGTGAGATTTTTAGTCACAATTCCGTTCTCAGTAAACCTTTGAATCCACAAGACTTGACTGCCAACAAAATATTTTTTGTACACACAGTTTTGCAAAACAGTCCCAACATAATGTATCTCCTAAAACCTCTTTTTTTTTATCTTAAATTACCTTTGGCTAGACTTATTTATTAATTTTGAACTGTAAGATAACTGAGAGAGAGCCCTTACTGCTCTCACACCCCAATCTACTGCACATACTCTTTTGACTAGTCTTGGCACCGTCTTTGAGACGGAAACTCCTCAAGGAGGTTATAGAACCAGAAATCTATGTAAGCTTATGGGAGATAATTATAGCACAAAATAAAATGCTAAAAGAGATGTATTGTACAAATTCCTCAGGAATTGTTAGCGTTAAAGGTTTGGTAATGTTGCCCTCAAATAAGGATTAAAAAGGCTTTTCCCCCACAGTTGTAGATTTGAGAGCATTTGGTTACAGTGGTGTGATCTTTTTTTTTGTAATTGATGTTTCTACTACACTACTGAAAGTAAACTTTTGTCTGTAGATGGGTAAAGCATGATTTGGAGGTCATCCAGCTGACCCTTCTAATTAGCCTCAGCACAGTGATGTAAGATTCCACTTGAGCTAAACATAATTTTGAAGAAGGCTACAGATTTTAAAACCTGAATTTAGATATTTCATACTTCTATAACTTTGTCAGTCAGCACCTGCTGCACAAATCTGACTGAATGGGAAGCTTTACAAGCATATACCGGGAGCTATTTGCAACAACTGTTACACTCAAATGAATCAAAGTGAGAATTAACAACACTTGTTGCTGTTTCTTCCTCACAAAGGCCACCTGTTAAAAAGCTTTAACTTCAGCAGCTGTAGGGACATCTGCATCATCCAAATGAAACGCCCTGAAAAGCCTCTTTATTAGCTCATGAGACTTTGTCTTGTTAATTGTCATCGCTTTTTCTTCATAATGTGTTCCACTTGATTTCATTTTCTTCTCAGAATTTCAACAAATGCCAAAAGCCTCAATTGTGTTTGTAATTTTTCATTGGTTTTGTTTGACATTTGATCGTGTATAACCCTCCCAGGGTTATTCTGTGCAGTCGTGTCTTACTAATTGTGATTGCTAATATTGTTTCCACTGTGACTAAAACTTTCATCGGAAAGACTTTACCCAGCATCAGAAATGAATCCTCTCAATTTTCCTTTCACTCACTTCTCTTTTTGTCTTCTGTATTTGCTTAGTTATTGTATGGAAACCTCAGAAAGAAGCTCCATCAAATAGAAAACAGGTTCTCAGGATTAACAGCTGTGCCGTGTTATGCTCAGTATGCAAAGAATTACAAACAGTCTGGTGCAGAGCATTTTACAGCTGAAAATATTTTTAGTCCTCAGTCAACCTTTTGACAGGATTCTACAGGATGTCTGGGCTTCTGTGAATGTACGTACATGGACTTGGGTCTTCTTCAAAACAAAATTAATTTAAAGTAGGGACACACGCACACACACTCACAGGGTGGGAAGCTACTTTAGAAGTATAATAGTGAAGTCCTCAGCAGGAGGGATTCCGTGCTGTAAAATTGATTACAGGGGGCTGAAGAAGGAAACTTTTCTCTTTTGCTCATTGTGTGTGTGCTAGAAGGTTTTCCCGAAGCAAAATTTTACTTTAAGATGTGAAGAATAAGAGCAAGAATGTGAAAATATGGACACAAACTCACTCACCCGTAGTTAAATGATATAAGTTTATCATGTTACATGGTGGGTTACCAGATTCTTTACATTCAAAATAGTTTACGCAGAAAAAGAAAGCTAATTCCATTAACTATGTTAAGTTAAATTATTGAGGAATCAAGATTTATTCACAATGGGGACAAAAAGCATGGCATGGCCGGATTTTTAAAAAGTTAAACTGAAGTTAAGAAAAGCCAAAATCTAAAGAATAACAAAGAGCCTATGGGACCAAAAGCTAAATGAGGGGGAAATGACCAGGGAAACATTGAGGATCGAGGAGAAATGTAAGAAAACGACAAAGCCTTGGAAAGGGAAAACTAGAGTAAACTCAAGAGGGATTTGATTAAGAATGAAAGAAGCTGGAGAACATATACAGAAGATAATAGTCAGTAAATGAAGACAGCTAAGGGAAGGGAGCACTAGAGAACAGTGGTGCTGATGACAGGATTGAAAAGTACTGAAGAGGCAAGGTGAAACCTTGATACAAAAGGATAGGAAAGGGGAACTGCGAAAGACAGGACAATGAAACGGTAAACAAAACATGAAGCGAAACTGAGGAAACTTGTTTGAAGATAACTGAAACTCAAGAAAACTCAGAATAAAGGAACTGTTTTTTTCCATTCAAAGTCTGGTAAATGCACAGGACCAAAGACATATACTTATAAAATAACCAATACTACAGCAAAAATTCTATTGGCAACATAACTGAAGAACAAGGTCGTAAAAAAAGAACAAAAATCCTGAAGTCATGACTACATTCAGTCCTGTGGCCCACAGACTGTTGGTGTTTTTGAGCATAATCCAGCAAAGTAAAGATTATTTGACGTAAAGGCAGCGGTCATATAAACACATTACAGGCAACAGCTGTCTTGCTTCTAATTCAGTTTGAATGCGGTGGGCGCTTGTGTTTCTGAATTAAATTCTGGGTGGCAAAGGCTGCAGAAGTGCCAGCCAATCATATGTCTGATCTCCTAATAAAGTGAGATGTCTGGCTTTTTACAGCAGTTCAAATGTTTCCACTTGCGCTATTGTTGTAAACAGTCTACATGTTAAAATTGTGTCAGCTTGCTAAGTAGATGATCTTTCATCCAGTTACTGATCTGTTTCTTGGTTGCTCGCAGTGCCCTCCAGATGCTCCCAAGAGTCGACGAGCTGCTGAAAATGATCTGCTCGACAACACATTCAACCAGGTAAATCATTTTTACAGAAAGAACAAATCAGAAATGTCTGCTGCTGTATGATAAAACTGTGCAACTTGTGGTGTGCAACACTGGTAACATGCAAACAGGTAGGGTTGACATTCACTGTGCGTAGAACAGAATACAAATTTGAGATCATTTCAACACACATAGATCAATGTGGAGTATAGAGCAGATTTTCTTTTAAAAATACATAGATGAATGACACAGGGGGACTGAATTGAACTTATGACAATAAATGTTGAAAGTCATGGATACTACACCCTTCAGACTTAAGATGGACGGATCAACATTGGGTTTGTTGTCAGCAGGGGCAGCTTATTATATCATGAAACAAAAAGGAACGTGCATTCATAGTTCAATCCTTTCCGAATGGCTGTGACCCAAGATTGTGATGCTAACACAGCATTCCACAGCAAATTTAGCAGTTAACTAACAAAATTGACACCAAATCACCTTGTATCATCAATAAATATTGTATTGTGATTCATCACAACGTCCACTTCTCCCCCATGAACGGGCTCAGAACATTGCAGAAACAGACTCGCACTGTGTGTTGACTGAGCTGTCTAAGATACTCCTGCTGGCAAACAATCTCTGGCCAGTCTGCCAAATGGAATGGCTGTTTTTCTTTGGAACTAAACTGTGAAAAACATCTTTCTGATCAGCCGTCATTTCTCAGTATTATATGACATCTGTTCAGGTGTTAGCTTCAGCACTGATACAAAAAGCTCCAGAAAGATGTTTGTTTTGTTTGTGTTATTACTTGATTTATGATTCATGTTAAGGGGATATAAATGCTTTTGCTTATTCACTGGGGCCTGATGTTGTCCTGAGGAGTGCTGGTGTTATCTAAGAGCTCTGGCAGACTTCAGAGCATAGTAATCAATCCTATTGATGCTTCCAACGAACACAGAACACGTCTCATATTAATCTCAAAACCTAACTCCCTCTCATAATCTGGTGTCTCTCATTGCAAAATAACTATTTTCATATTATTTAATGGTTTTTTTCATGTTAACCCTTAATGCATGAATTATGATAATTTTGGTCAGGTTTTTTCGGTTTTCTTAAGGTTTAAAAAATAGTTTATGCAAGGATTTTTCCAGATGCCATCTCAAGTGGACAGTGTACATTTTAAGATTGGTTACTAACGAAGTACTGTATGTTACAATGTGAACATATTTGAAATTTCTTAACAGAATGCATAAAAATAAAACTTTTAATTCAACTCTCACCCTATTCTAAAATACTTTTGAAAGCTGTCCACTGTAGTGACCCCTATGCATGAAAGGGTTAAGGTCAGTGCACATAACAGGGTGATGCAATCTGAATACCATTTATCTAAACGCCAACATTTGTTTAAAATGATTGGATTGCTATTAATTTGTTGTTATAAAATGTAAAGCTTCCTCTCGAATCTTTTTAATATGTAAAAATGTTGAACAAATGCATAATGATTCCTAATCACGGCGACATTAGAAGATTAGCGGATTCGTTGAGCCCAGTAATCTTCACCACATCACAAACTAGTCCAATTATTTGTCTGGGACAAAGGTTTTGGCTGGATCATTTTGTTGAGAACTTATTATAATATTTTAATAAGCATACTTTCCCCCTCGCTTTGCATCCTTTTTTCCCCCAACCTATTTGACTCCAACATTTTTTTTTTCAGTGTCTTCTTTTCCCCAAATGCTAGCACATACAATCACAAAGGGGATTTATTCTTCTATTTTAATTTATATATAATTCTTGTACACATTGAATGGACTGTGAAATCCAATACTCCCGCATGCAGCCCAGATGTTACTCAGCCATGGAAAGGCTTCCAGCAAACTAAGCCTTTCAAAGTGACAGCGCAGTGAACTCTGCACATGTGGAATGTTGTGTGTTCTGGACTGTGCCGGATTACTACAGAGAGAGAATGCAGGGATCTCTGGGGTCAACTGTTGGTTAAACACTGGTTCTATGCATCCTAGCTCTGTCTCTATTTTCTGTGAAAAATAAACGATTGACACATTAGAGTCATGGAAGACATCCCACTCTCAAACAGCTTTATTTAGAGGTCTTAGCGTCCACAATGTTGTTGAGCTACCACGATTCAAGTGATTGAATATCACAAGAAGTTCAAACCAAGAGTTGTTGCTGTTTGCGTTGAGCTGTGACATTCTTTGATTTGAAAAAAGAGAATTTGGATGCGGTGTTTTTTTTGTTTGTTTTTTGCAAAAATGTACATTAGACAGTCTGTTTGTACAGTAAATGATCACACAGAGATATTTACTTCTCGCCACAGCTTTGAGAGTAGGATTAGCTGTATTGTCTAAAGCTACTTTTTCACATGTACCAGACTTCTAAAAAAATGTGGTCCATGTAAAGGCAATTGTCAGCAATATATAAAAGTTATCTGGTGAAATACAACTTGGAATATTGTGTGGAATTCTAGATATAAATAGTGAGCAGCACGGTCAGAAAAATGATCATAATGACAGATTCATCAGACCACCATGTAGAACCATTTTAGATGTGTACAGACGGTGTAGATATCCTCAGATCCAAAGAATCTAGTCTGAAATGTGGTATATTCAGAAGTTCTCTGACCTTTGTCTGTATTTACTTCAAAGTTCTGCTGGCTTCAGTAACTTTTTGTTGCAGTTTGTAATGGCTGCCTCAGCAGCAGGGGAGTGAGGTACAAGTGGCGTTCCAGTAATTGACTGCTCTGACCCACAATGTTGAACCCCATCCTCTGGTGATGTCAGACAACCCTTTTTTTCTTTCTTTTTTTTTGCAACTTCGATCAAATTAGGTTTTTTTTCAGGGTTATGTGCACATGGCTTGTCTGTGCATGGGTCACAGCAGTTACTGTCTTCCTAAGATATGACAAATCTCACCCACACTGTTTCTTATCTCCCACTGTAAGCCTCTTTTTTCCCATCTTACTTTCAACCCAGCTCCGAGCTGAAAGGTCATCTAGTCTTCAAAAGACTTAAAGTCTTCTTTGGGCTTTTTCTCCCCTAAAGTCGCAGTGTTTGTCTGCTTGACTTTTTATTTTGAAGTCCAGTGCTACCTGTAAAATTACTTCTCATGTCTTCCCCTTTGCTGAAAATGGTTTCTATTTATTGTAACTCTCCGCCTTGCTGTCTCAAATTGTTTCCACTTTGCTCTCTAATTCCTCTTCTATTTTTCTTGTCATTGACAGTGTTTTTGTTTTTCTTTCTGTTATTTCCAATTTTGTGCACAGCAGGTCCATCTCTTTATTTTCCTCGGGGCTAATTCAATGCAGTACTAGTTTTTGTTTCTGCTCATTGTCTCGTATCACTTTTTTAAAAATCCAGAGTAAAGAAGAGTTGTTTATGACCCCTGTTCGCAACGAAGATAGCCTCCATCTTTTGTTCTTGTTGGTCTGATGCAACATATTGTAATGGAACAAGATTTAAAGTGTTGCACAAAACATGCTTCAGATAACTGTCATCTAAAATATATATATATACTAAAGCCATTTAAATATGCAGTCCTCTCTCATTCATCAACAGGAGATTTTTGCATCAAAGGATATTGCAGAAAAAGTAAGGCTCACAGTTCACGTCCACTCACGCTCACACGTTTTATTCAACATTGCTGTATTTCTGATGAGACCTGTGGGACAACATCCCGGTTAAAACTCAGACGGTCAGCTCAAAGTATTGAACGCTTAGCATCGAAAAGGGAATCATGTTCTGCATGTGAGTCCTGGCTTTCATTCCTCAATGCAAGAGAATGCACATGGGGTAGCTTGACTGGGGAATCCATTTGAATTGTGGCAGTCTGGTGCCTAACCTTTCTTTAACCCGATAAAGGAATATGCGATTGACAAGAGACTTCCGATATGTATGTACAGCAGAAATTGAAACAAGGACGTCGCATGTGGGCTTTAGGTGCTGTGCATTGGATTCTATTTTCTTTTGCCTTTCTCACACACTTGCTGACAGATTGAGATCTGATTTACACCTCATTATGCCTTGGTTCTCAGTTGGGAGTTGCTTCTGCCTATTAATTTTGTCATTCACCTACAATAGGCATGTTCTGTTCCCAAATAGAATGCAAAACTCAAGACACTTCATTAGGTTGCTCCTGTGTGTGCTTACTAATGCAGTTGGCCGCCTCTCCTGACTTCCTCAATTTAGGTTATTACCTGGAATGGAGCACAGTATGCCCTGCCACTGGGGGCACACACTCACAAATGAGCAGAAGTGAATGTAACTTAGTCAAATTACATGGGGCAACTATTTTTTCCAAGTTGTAAATAGACACTACCTGAATAAATATACTCATATAAAAGCTGGTATAATGCTTTGTTTTACCAAGGTCTTCAACTATAACAAAGAGCATTTGAACAAAGGAGTAGTTGTCAATAAAGTGTCTGAGTATGATTTGACTTTTGCAGCATATTCCCAAAGCTAGGTCTGAAACCATTCATCATCATCAAGTCATGCTTCGTCAGCTATTCTCAAAAACTGTTCTCTACAACCTCCCAAAACATTCAGCTCCACACACACAGAAAACTGAGAATTGACTCACCAGTTTGACTCTCGAGCATTTTAGCAAGAGGATGAAGTAAGCATCTATCTTGTGGCAGCTGAAGCAGCGTAGGCCAGCGGACTCGACATAAAATCTCAAAAAGGGTTGTTAGTAACATTTACATTTATCTTTGGGAAAAGAAACGTGGGGTTTGTTTTGGCCTAAGAACAGCTAAACTGTAAGATTAGTTATTTGGTTTGCTATTTTTAACATCATTTTACACCTTAATCAAATTTCCACAAAACATTTCATGCATTAATTGCTGACAGATGTGCATGTGAAGTTTCAAGATTTGAACAGTTGTGAGGACAAAAAATGTACTGTTCCCCTCTGAGGGAAGTATTTCCGAGTTGTTGTTTTTTAATGAAAGGTTATGGGGGCTTATGGGGGAAAACCCACAATCATAGATGAGAAATCAGCAAAAAATGAGATGTCTGAACAGCCATTGACATTTTCACCTTGTAAGTGTGAGACCGAGAATAGAGGGAACTGCACATTGTCTGTGTGCTTTTACAAGCTCTCCGGCGTTGTCTCAGCAAGCTCATAGTCACGGCTTCAGCACATTTCAAACTTCCTGTTGTGTGAAAGCAGGTCTCCAAGAAACACCGAGTGGGAGAATTCAGCTTTAATTACCTACTTCTGTTAAAAACGCTTCAGTTATTTATAACGGCTGTCCTTATTTGGCATTTGCATGTGACTCTGCATGTCTGTGCCCTCCTGTGAGGAGCAGCTGGTCTGTGCTCTCCTGTGCTGTGGGAATCAAACATTCCTATTGATCTCCGGCTCCCATGGGAAATACTTTTATGTATGTGTGTTTGTGTATGCGCGCCCTCTTCCACACCTCTCATCATTCTTAGCCGCATAGTGTAGCAGCACAGGGATCCTCATGGGTTTATTTTTGTGCAAGAGTGCCACTGCCAGGAGGCAGAGGAAACTACAGGGCTCTAACGAACCCCTTCAGCGGATTTAAAGAACAAGATGACAATAAATCTGTCTTTCTTTGTGTCTGTCTTTAGTGTGCGGGTTGTTTACTCCTGAGTAGGGAAGAAAATGTAAGGATCACTGATCTTTACTTGCATTTCAAGTCAGGTATATTAAACCACAGAGTGTGTAACCATGTGTTTGTGTGTGTCGCAGGTTGTAAATGCTGGTGGAACTTCTGGTGTGATAGGAGAAAAATTTGACCGGGTGAGTAAGAATATGTAAATCTGTTTTTGTGTTTCTTGTAAAAGTAATATTGGTGGAGTGTGCGATATCATTAAATGTGAAAAGGCATGCCTGGAATTATTTGCTCACACGCACACACCTTAAAGCTGCTGCAGTCTAATGTGCTAATATGCTGGATTTTGACCAGCTCACCTCCTAGCGGCACACTCTAACAATTTGAATCAGTTCCCCACCCAGTAGCAATCATCTTTTGTCTGTCTCCCTGCATCTTAGGGTGATGACTGTTCTGGCTCCCATTCAGGTCCAGTAAGTAACACCACCAACTGTGTCCCTCTCTCACTCTCTGCAACCCATCTCGCAGAGACAAGGCTTTTTTTGTTTGTTGTTTTGTGTGTTGTGGTTGTTATTTGGCGTGCGGTTTCGTAAGCATGACATTTTTTTGCCAAAATTGCTTTGTGATTATACATGCCAGCCAATTGTCTCTGACCTCAGTGCGCGGAGGGACCCAAAGGCCAGAAGGGAGAGAAAGGCGACTTGGTGAGTGCCAGTGTTCTGCTACAGCTTGCACCATCACACCCAACTACCTGCCAACCTTCCAAACTTTTCTGAGAGCTTTTGTCTGAATTTTAAGCATTTCCCGTTTCCAAACACTCACTTCTAGCTTTAATTATGCAGTGGGACTGATGTTATTCATTTTGCGTTCATTCAAAGGCAGTGACTTAATGTGTGTTGAAGATGTCAAGAGTATGCGATAGATATAAATGTGTACACATCCAGCTTGCTGGATGCCTGGTCCCCTTCCACAGGTAGTTGAATGAGAGCTGGGCCTCCTGCTTGTAGTCTGTACAGCTTGCTGACTGGACACTGCTGTTCGCCATGCTCCACTGGTGTGTACATTTTGTCTCTGTTAAGAACCAGGTCATTGATCTAGGCCTTGTCTCCACTGCCTCTCTCCACAGGCGATGGCTTCCAACTGGGACGAAGCAGCTGGGTACAAGGTGAACAGTTTAGGACACTTTTGGCGATAAATAAAGATGACGTGACCCTCTAATGTTTCCCCAATTAAATTCTAACCTCTTATTTTGTTGCCGGCTTTGTTTAGGGACAAAAAGGTCAGAAGGGAGACGTCGGTCCACAGGGTCTGACAGGCACACCAGGAAAGGACGTAGGTGTTTTGCACGTGTTTTCTTTTGCATTAGATTTAGGGAATTAGAACTGGTGGAAGGGGCTCCCGAAACACACACGCACCCCTGCAGTTATGTCATTCCTTTTTCCATGTTTGGGCGGATATTCAGTAAACGTGTTTGGCCTTACTCTTAAAGCTCAGACTCCCATTGATATCTGGCCTCCCCCTCCCCCCCCTCCCCCCCCTCCCACTGCGTTAAGTCAGCCTGTTAATGCCTGTTAGATTTGGCAAGAGCAACAAAGCCTGCGCAATCAATGCTGCTTCATTGACTGTTGCTGTTCGTCTCTCAAACAGGCAGCCATCTATTCAAGAGGACTTAAACCTTTTAATCTTCCTTTTACGGTGCAGTGATCCTGTAGACGCTTGAAAACTTTCAAGTAAAAAATTGCAACGTGTGTGAGTTCCAGTCGTTTTGGCAGCAGTACATCCTCGCATACAGTTGCCAAGCTAAGTGCTTGATGGGCCAGTTGGATTTAGTGGAGGAAAGATTTTCTTAAGTCCCACCCCCTCCAGCCATATTACATTGTGAATGCGAATGCTTTTGTTATGATCTCTTACTCCAGTGTGGCAGAGAATATACTGCAGATGCACCCCTGAATCTCATAGGCTCTAAGATACCCGCTCAGTGTTATATTGTAAAAAGTCAAAGATATGAGAGAAATCAACATGCTTTTGTTTTCTTCTTTAAGAATTTGTGAAGCTGTGTTGGAGATGGATATCCGGCCAGCATGCCTCTTTGATGTCGCTGACGATGTAACTTTTTTTTCTTTATCTGTCGCCATTTCTCAGGGTCGAGCTGGGTCCATCTGTGTAGTTGGCCCCAAGGGACAGAAGGTCTGTCTCCATTAAGTCTGGGTGTTTCTGCCATCAGCCTGACTCTCGGTGCAGTCTGTTTAGATTTAATGGTATCTATGTTTTCCAGGGCACACCGGGCAGGTTGGGTCCTGAAGGATTGGCTGGGGAGCCTGGGAAACCAGGACTTCCAGGTCTACCAGGAGTTGGAAAGCCAGGTCTCCCGGTTAGTGCACTTTTTAATGGAAAAATTCTGGATGTCTGCACTTAATGGATGCTGCTGTTCTTACTGTAATTTACATTGTGTCCTAACAATCCTCCTTGAGGTGGTCTGAGTTTGTCCAAACTGTTTTATGAAACGGCTTAAGATCACTTCACTTTAAATCCTTTCTTTTGGCACAGGTTTACTCTATAAAAGTTGAAGAAAGGCCATTGAAAATCTCTATTATGTGCTCATATCCTGACAGGGTCTCCCTGGTGAACCTGGTGGTGCAAAAGGAGAAAAGGTGGGTGTCATTTTTAAAGGTCAGATAAGTTAAATTTTTAAAACCAACCTTTACCTGTATAGGTGCAAGAAAGTAGTGGTAACTTGTCTAAAATATTTTTAAAAAACAATGTTTTATGTCTCAGTTTATGAACAACATTCTCATGCTACTAAACCCAAAATGACATCCCACTCAGTTTTTTATTTGCATCTACAGGGGGATGCGGGATCATCTGGGAAAGATGGGTTGCCAGGAGATCCAGTAAGACTCTTTCAAACAGTCGTTGGTATTCAGCAGTGTGTGAATGAGAATCCAGTGATCAGAATTATAATTCTGAACTGATCCATGAGTGTTTGACAGGGATTGTGCTGTTTTCACAGGGACCAAGAGGACCATTGGGGTTTAAAGGAGAGAAGGTAAAATACTATGTAAACACTGTCCTTAATCATTATATCCACATGTCTTTGCGGTGTCTCATCAGCACATTTGTGTATTTTTGTTCAATCTCCAGGGTGACCCGTGTGAAGTGTGCCCAGTGCTACCAGCAGACATCGGCAACGCAGGGACTTTTCAAGGGAAACCCGGCCCTAAAGGAGAGCCTGGATTACCGGGGCTAGGAGAGAGAGGACTCCCTGTAAGTACATCAGTTTGACTTTAATGCAATGTAATGTATTTGGCACCTGCCTGGAATGTTCAGTTTTACATTTTTATGATCTTGCTGCATGTTTTATTAGCAAGTTGTCGACACGGCCAGAGCCACAGCAGACAATTGAACCCTGAGCGCTTGTTTGATAGCATATATATTTAATTTTTCTTATCTTTCTGAGGGAAAGCGTGGCATTTATATCCACCTCAGGGGGTTGTATTTGCCCTTGTAATTCTTGCAGTGTTGTCGCAGCTCAAGGGGAGAAGACGTGATTTGCTGTCATAAGTTTAGTCATCAAGGGAAAGGTCTTTCTTCTAATGTAATCTTAACTCGTCTCTTTGTCTCTGTAGTGAGTCCAAATTCGGCACACTGCACCGTGTGTTTCTCTTTCCGCCACTTACTCTCGCAGGTGCAATAGAGAATGATTTGTGGAGGAGGAGCGATAGAATATAAATCTTGAGCCATATGAGATTCTCTGTGCAACGATTTCCAATAGTGCCAGCACCAATCTGTCATACCTGGTTAGGACACGGGAAGAAGGGGGCAATGCAACAGAGAGGGAGAGTTGGATGTGACCTCTCCCTCACAAAACTTAACTAACAACATTTTTTCTGTCTTCTCTCTTTTTATCTGCATTTACCAGGGGCCTCAAGGTGCAGATGGCAAAGCAGGACAGAAGGTATCAACTTCCAGCCCTGTTCATTAAGTATTTGTGGTTAATTCATTTCCTGTGGAAGCGTGACCTATACATGCTCATCTGCATTCCTGAACATTCAGATATGCTAACATCAGCACTGTGTAAGACGCTCTCCAAAAGCAGATGCAAGCAAAACTAGCTGATCCAAACTCCGTAAAGGTCCACACACGCACATTCAGCTCCTTTATAGATTTCGGTCTACATCCACGAGTTTATGCATGGATGCTAATTTTGCTCAAGTCTGCACTGCCATCAACTCTCATTCACACAAACAGAACTGATACACTCTGACATCCGCCTAATTGCAATGGCCAGAACGCTTCCAGTGCTGTGTTCAGACAAGACGTCTCAAAGCAAACATACTTGGCAGGGTGAGCTTGGATTCACTTGCTTTCTTTCTTGGATTTTCTTGTTTTTGTACGTTTTGGCAGGGAGACCAAGGATCAGATGGCACCAAAGGAGAAAAGGTCAGCTTCAGTGTCTGTTACATGCCTACATTTAAACCATTTTTTGGTTTAGTCTACATCATTTGGTCTACAGTTGCCTGATTACTGATATATGTTTAGTTTCTCTTCCTATTAGTTTTGTTTATTTTCGATTACATTTTTGTTTGATTGGATGAACATTTGAGGACAATTTCTTTTCTGTAGGGAGATCCGTGTTCTGTGTGCCCCACCCTTGGAGAACTTCCCCCTAACCCTTTTCCTGGTGTCTCAACCCAAACCCTACAGCAGAAGGGTGAGAAGGGGGAGGCTGGGATGGGACTGAAGGGAGAGAAAGTAAGTCAGTTTTATTCTGCATCCACACAAATGACTGAATGATTATCTAAAACACACATGAGAAACTTACTGTGTGGATGTTTTACTTGAATCAGTGCACTTCCATGCATGTATGAGCTGTAATAAACACCTTCATTTAAGTAGTGAATCATCTGTTATTTTCTGTTCCACAGGGGGAGCAAGGAAATGTAGGTTCACCTGGCCTTAGAGGAGAGAAGGTAAGTAACAGTGAACGAGTAGCTGACCTCAATAGCTGACACGGCTTATATAAGAGGAACTCACCCGGCAGGTTTCTGAGGAAAGCTCTTAATAGACTTCATCAAGGAGATAATCACAGTGGTGCACTAATTTCAGGGCCAAAAATGTCTACCACAGGGATTTTCCTCAGCAGGAAACTTATTAGGAAAAAGCCTGGATATGCATAAACCAATATAATTCAACACGTCTGCCTGTAAGGTGCAACTTACTGTGAAGGGTGAATGAGCAATTTAAAAACCCATCCATTTTTATCAATTCATAAGATTTTTTTCCTCCTCATGTCTTCAGGGTAATATCGGTAGCACAGGGGCTGATGGCAAGCCGGTAAGTGCAGCTTCAGTTCTCTTAGACAGAATGCTTTTCTTCACATTTAGCTGAAGGTTTAGAATGAACTGTGGCTGTGTGACAGGGAAAACCTGGGCTAAGGGGATCCAGTGGCAAGGAAGGACAGAGAGGAGCAAAGGTAGGACACTTTCATGTCACGTTTCTCTTTGAAGCTATAAGCCTGCTCTTTTTGTATGCGTTTGCATTTTTACAAGCAAGGATTTTGAACTTAGCTACAACTAAATGGTCCCTTGCAGTATATCAGTCATCTTTAAGCCTGTATCACCATTCACCGAAGCACCACACAGCTGTGTCTGTTCCCTTCAACTTAGTAAATTGAAATTAAATAATCACCTTCAATTAAAACTTTCTTTTGAAGACATTTGGAAAAGAAAATTACGTATATGAGGATATGGTTGTTGAGAAGTTGGGATTGGAGGTCTTCTGTTATTCTTGTTCGACTGACTCATACTAAACAAAAAGAGTGCTCATAGTCGTCTACCCTTCACTGCTCCAATAGCTTGAGGCATTTATTTGAATTACACCAACATACATTTTGCAGGTAATTATAGTTTTCATGGATTGGTAATTTAAATGATCATTCACTCAAGAATTATTTCAGTATTCCATTAAGACATCATAAACGTGGACCAAATGCTCTCGTTTGTCTCAGTGACACCTAACTATCTTGATAGCGCATCTCAAACTAATACCAGCCGGATTATTATTAGAAACATTTAGCATTAAAGTGGAGCTGGCATGTACATACACAAGGTTGTTAAGATTCAGGAATATGGATTTTTTGGGAGTCTTACCTGCAGAAAACACCAGGGCACTCTATTCAAGGAAACGGGGGATTTTGAAAGGCCAGCCAAACTAGCAGTTGCTCACATTTGAGTTTTATATGATTTTCTAGCAGAGGTCATATAAAATAATGATTTTATGTGGTTAAACTTTTTGCTTTGGCACTTTATTATCTCTACTACTGAAAAGTAGTGGTTCACAGCTTAAAGTATACCTTCTACAGTGATTGTTGCGCATTACTGCGGCAAAGCCAAGTTTGATTTAGAAATAGTTTTGCTGCAGTTGACAACTAAGCGTTTGCTTGAACTGCTGTAAGATTATGTTTGAGTCATGTTAAAAATCAAAATATCAAAGACGTTTAGTGAACCTCCCTGCTTCTCCAAAGGTAGACAATCTAACCGGTGCCAGTGACATGAAGACATCCTGAAAAGGATGGAGGAAGAAGGATGTATTCAGTAGCTGTCTCCTTACAGCTCAGCATCATTATCTACCATGTCAGCAGAGCTTCATAAGAAACCATTTCATGACAAGATTTAATAGTTTTGTTTATCAGCTACAGGGTGATGAAAGAAGACTTTTTACACTTGGAATCTTTCAGTTCTTCATAACCAATTTTCACAGACAATCAATTCTGACCTGAAAAGGGAGGTTCCCTATTGGGTTGGAAACTATTTTCCATGTTTTTGAAAAGTAATTTGAAAAGTAATTTAGTTCAAAGCAAAAAAATAAATAAATCAGCTCATCTTATAAGCTTTCAATCTATCTGTTTTGTTTGCACATACATCTCAGATGGCTTTGAAATTAAACCCATCCAAATGTACTTTTCCATAATGCTTTTTCATTCTTCTGCTCATTTTATGGAACTTTGGTATTATTTTCATCTTTCATCATTATTCACAGGGAGAACAGGGGCCACCTGGTATCGGTCTATATGGCCAAAAGGGTGATAAGGTAAGTATAGATAAATGAGTTGGTTTTGCAATTGTTTTTAAACCTACTTGTCAAAGAAAGTAACCCTCCTCACTTATTTCTGTTCCTCAGGGCGAGTGTGGTGTGTGCCAGCCATCAGAAGTTGGTAGCAAACCCGCCAACATCAGAATGCCCAACGGAACAAAAGGTGAACCTGGTCCTCCAGGTCCGCCCGGTCCACCAGGCATCGGGGCTGATGGCAAACAGGTGCAAAAGATATGTTATATAAATGTATATATGGTGACATAATACTAGATATGTAGACTATCTATCACCCTCTCAAGCGCTTAACATCAAGATTAACTCAGACTTCAGAAGAATATTTCAGACAGCCCTAACATAATCAATTTCTGAGTTTGTCCCTCAGTGCCTACTGAATTGGCATTCATTCAGTGACCATACTATCTTACTGATTTGTTTGGATTATATCCTCTGCATATTAGAATCCTTTGATTTTATTCTGCTTTGCATTCATAGTGTGATTTTCTTGTGCTCATACTGTTGATCGCTGTGTATCTGCTCCAAAAACCTGTATGAAATTGACTTAATGGAACTTGGAACGGTGTCTTCGCTTACAAGCCAGCCTTGGAGAAATTGGAACACATTTAAAAAAAAAATAAAATAAATTCAAACACTGCGTGTACACCCTTACACACATTACTGTTCATTGTCAGAATTATTCACAGAAGTCACGTTATGCAAATTCCAAAACACCAGTGCAGCTTTTTGGCATCCTATTTTGCTGCAGAGTAAAGCAGATTAGGTGCCATCTGGATGAGTGAAAAGTTTGCGATGCTGAAAGATTTCACCCCCAGGGCGAATCAAGCCATAATGCTTATTGTCTAAACAGAACTTGCAGAGATTCTTCTTGTACGACAGCGTTGTTGCAGGGTGTAATAAATCTATTTTGGCTCATGTTACCTCTCCCAATTACATTCTGAGTGTTTCTGTGGTTGGCTTTATGTCAGCAGCTTTTATTTTACCTTTGATCATTACTTAAATCCTATGCGCGTATGTCTTTGCTCTTCCAGGGGCCATCCGGTCTGACTGGTGCTAAAGGAGAAAAGGTGCGTTTCTCTTTATCTGCACTCTTACCGGTTACATTTGTAGAGAGCTGCTCTGTGTTTGTGTTTTCACAAATTAATTGACTGACTGAACCCAGCAAAAAGTTCACATGTAAGAGCCTGGTTGTCGGGTGAGAAATTAAAACCAACTCATCAAGACTCTAGGACATTTTGTCAGGCTTTTAATTAACTTATTAAAAGCCACATACCCCAAAACAGTCTTCCTTGAATAATATACTGAAAAACCGGAAGGAAGGACATTTCTAATTAATCTGACATCACTGAGATGAAAAATGTGTCTGGAGGACACTCAAACGGAAATATTTTAAATAATATTTCAAGCAGTCACGTTTCGACTCATGTTTTATTTTCAACTACCAAATCTATTTTGTGCAACTTTCTCATCCTGGTAAAAATAAATAAATATATCAGAGATATAAATCTGCCACCAACAGTCAGGCTGCCCTAAATCACCTTGAAACTCATCCACAAGAATCACTCAGCCTTTACTTCAAAGTGCTGTCAGATAGTTACTCCAAGTACTGAGACTGACACTCTTGTCGGTATTTGAACACTAAATAAGTCATCTTTTTTTTTTAATAAACCTGTGTTACATCAGCCAAAAACAGAAGTGCTTTAAATAAAAAATAAAAAGGCTTGGCTTTCTTTGAACTAAGGGGTTATGGTTCAAATCTGTGTTTCTAACCAAAAATGCATTATTGGTTTTAATTGTATCTACTTAGAAATTTGTATTCATATCTGTCCTCGTGCAACGTTTATAAATACCAGGGGGATCAGGGAGAACAAGGGGGAAAAGGGCAGAATGGTGCTCCCGGAGTCCCAGGTCTGCCTGGAGAGCCTGGTCGGGATGGTCAAATGGGCTTCAAAGGAGAGAAGGTACATGAATTTTACGTATACATGAATGTTTGAGGTCTGATCTGATATTACCAACCCTAGCTTTGACCCAACTGTCAGACGAACCGTATCTCTCTTCCAGGCTTTGAAGTCTCGATTTAGTTTTGCTGTCTGGATGACAGAATATAAAAATGTTGACCTTTTTTTCATTAAAACACTCAGATCATCACTCAAACCTGTTACACTCTACATTGGTTAAAATGGACATCGGTGTTTTCAGAGGAATGGCACGCAAATTGGAGAATACATACGAGAATAATGTCTCACTCTGATCCGTTCTTTGGACATGACATGGCATCAAACTGTGGACACGATGAAGAATAAATATTTAAGGGGCTTGAACCTTGACAAAATGGGACAGGGAGGACATTTATAATCAGAAAACAAATCTGTGCATGAATTAAAAAGTGTGAAATGCTATGTTAATGTTTTTTTCAGTAGATTAATTGAATCCAACTGGGATGCAGTCACATGTATCTTTCCAAAAGAACATGTGCACTAACTTTATATATTTTCAACAAAAAATGCCATCCCAAAGGTCTATTAAAGGGCTAAGTTGGAGTTGAGATCAACTGAAGCATCTGTGTGTTGTTATTTTTTTCCTATTTCCTTTCAACCATTTATGTTAACAGCTTGAGTCTGCAGCTAATTAAAGCTGATACCTCTGGTCACATGACTCACGCAAACACAGATTTTTAGCGCTTAAAAATCTCAATTGATTAACCGAAAGCAGATAATGTTTCACAGTAAACAAGTTGGAATGGTCTGAAAGCTTGCTATATTACGGTTTGAATGGCTTTCCCCAGGGAGATGCCTGCACCAGCTGCTCTACCCCTGGCTCCGTGGAGGGTGATGGTGTGACTGTACCAGGTCCCAAAGGAGAGAAGGGAGATCCAGGTCCCCCAGGGACAGGAAAGACTGGCAAAAATGTGAGGGAATTGTCCTATGTTTCGCTCTGAGCTCTCTGCCACTGACATTACTGATGTTCAGTTTACAAATGTTTTTCTCAGGGAAAACCAGGCTTACCAGGTGTGCAGGGCCCCTCTGGTCCCAAAGGAAGCAAGGTACGAGGTCCATTTTTGTTCTGTCGCATTTGCGAATACGTACAGGGAAAAATAACTTTGTGTGGTAAACCTGTACAGGGAGAAACCGGAGCTGCAGGAGTTGGTATTCCAGGACCACAGGTAAGGCTGATCAACAACACATGAACTCATTCTCACTCTTGTTGTTGAAGATGTAAATAAAATCCCCTAAATAGCCATACAATAGTACGACCTTTCTGGACCTTTCTCTCTCAAATCCTTTGATTTATTGTGAGGCTGAGTTGTTTTTTCTCCTCAGATGTCAGGCACTTCCTGTTTCTCTGTGCGTTTTATCTTTTGCTTGTGTGTCACAGGGTGTTGAGGGACCCCGGGGCCTCCCAGGACTCGCAGTAAGCTTCTCTCTTTCACAGTTCTCGTTACCCAGTTCATATGTTTAGAATTTGTCCTGATCCGGTTGTTTTTTAACAGGGACCAGCTGGTGCCATAGGAGCAACGGGTCCTGTAGGCCCTGCTGGAGAAAAGGTAGCTTTTGAGCAGAAGACTTTGTATATAATTATGGTTTCAACCTCAGGATGATGGCGAATTAAACTTTTCCTTTTCTGTTGGTAGGGCTCCAGAGGTGACATTGGGGTTCCCGGGCCCCAGGGGCCAGCAGGCGTAGGGGCCACAGGACCAGCGGTAGGCTCGGAGTATATCTTTAGAAACGGGTATGTGATAGATTCTCAAACAGTAGCACTGACTCACTGTTTGGCTCTCAGGGCAGAGATGGAGACCGCGGCCCTGTTGGGATTCCAGGAGCCGATGGCAGACCTGTGAGTCAGATTAGTCTTTGTTTTTCTTATTATCCAAAGCGATGAGGGAATTTGATCAGCAATTGAAAACTCTTAAAATATGTTTAGAATGTTTCATTTTCTTTGAGCTTCTTTGGGGATTGTCCTTGATTTGGGCAGCGTTTGTAGCCAAGGATGTCTTCCTGGATCCGTTATGGAGTCGATGTCTGCTACTATCTCATCCTGCATGCCCTGATCTGCACTCAGCTCACCGCCCCACGAGCTTTACCCTGAAACAACAAAGCAAGAGTAACTAAGCATTTGTCTGTGTGTGTGTGTTTGTGTTTGTGTGTGTGTGTGTGCGTGCTTGGATACTGTCTGCTTCTCTTGCAGGGACTTGATGGAGCTAAAGGGGACAAGGTAAGTCTACCGTTTTGTTTTGGATGATGGAAACTGGAGGGGTTTGAATATAAGGGGGCGGAACAGATGGTAATCACCAGAGATGGCTCAACACTCCGCCAACCCCACTCCGCCTCAGACACGCGCGGAGACACTCGCGCAGACACACACGCCGACATCGACCGGAGGCCAAAGATAGACTAGCAGCAGCGGTGACAAGTGTACTCTTGCCGGCAGAGGAGAATTTTGGGGGCCTGAGGAGAGAGCATGTGTACGAGACTATTAATTACAGCACGCATCTGAGCCGACCGTCCAGACTGTCACTGAGGGGAAGAGGAGATGAAGAAGCAAGTTAGGAAGGGCTAAAGGGTTGTTAGAGGAGGGATCCAAGCACTTATTATAAAGACTGATTTAAAAGAAGGAAATTAAGCAAGAGAGCCTGATCTGTGTGTTTGGTCCGGCATGATGAGCTTCTCTGCAACAAAATAGTTTTAGTGTAGTATCAAAAGTCACTTATGGAGTTTCTGCAAAAATCCTTACTTTATAGGTCTTTTAAAAATATACATATTCATATTTCAGGGTGAACCAGGAGAGTGCAACTGCATTATGCCGGGGCCTACCACTGTTGGCGGACCAGTGAGTTCACACTTAAGCAGACACTTGCAATAACTCAAGGAAACACACACGGACATCCTCTGTTAATTAAAATTTATTTCCACCTCGCCGCTGTTGGGGTCTGAATCGAAATGCTATCCAAGGGTTAAGTCAGACTATGGGAGATGTATTGAGGGGAAAGAAAGAAAGAAAAAAAAACATGCTTATTTTTTCCTCCTATCTTTCTGTGGTTTGACATTTGTTGACATTTATTTTTAACATCACACTGTGCACCTTTGCTGCTCTGATGTCGACTTTTTCTTGCCTTCCAGGGAGCTCCAGGAACTGCAATAAACATGTGGCAGCCCGGGCCTCAGGTCTGATCTGTCAGACAGTAAAGCTGTCTGACAACTTGGGCTTTGTTTGGGAGCTTTGCATCCATTCTTACCTGGCAAACTTTGTTTAGAAAAATCACTGCAGATTCTTTCTTTTTCTTATTTTTTTACCTTATGGTGATAGTTATTATTGCAGTTATGTCATTATATTATATGTTGCAGGGCCCCCCTGGACCTCCAGGGCCTCCTGGTCCCCCCGGGCCGGAGGGAATGACCGGAATCGAAGGACCCCAGGTGGGAGACAGGGCTGGTTGAATGGTGTTGAGAGCATTCCTTCAGTTCAATTCATGGGCTGCTTCTTTTACCTGAATTGAACTTGAAGCTCCTTAACAGTGCTGATGGAAGGTTGTCAGACTCGTTCAAGTTTCCCACATTTTTCTTTTTTGTTTTATACGCAACATCAAATAGATGCTTTTCCATTTTCTCTCATCAGTCTGCACATTCTTTCCCTGAAAGGCAATAGTGTTTGGTAGTTTCTGGCAAATTAAATAGGCGCCTGATTTTTTTTTTTTTAGGTTTTACAGCTGGTACGTTTCAAAGGTTCTGATCAGTCAACTGTTTCTCTAGCTTTTCCGTTACAAACTCTGTTCTTACCTCATAAATTTACCTCCGTTTTTTTTATTACTTACTCAGAGTCCTGCTTGCCTGGTAACATTGGAAAAAAAATGAGTTTGTCATCCCTTCAGCACTTTTAGATTGTGATAATTACATGACACACCTTTGGCTGCCATTACAGCCAGAAAGTGTTCCCTTTTGAACTTTCTCCCAGTGATCCTTGCAGTTCGAACATAAACGGGTTAAAAGAGGAGAATCAGTGGCTGAATCATTCTTTGGTCTTTGATTCATGAACAGGCTTTGGCTGTATCACTCAGAAATGGAGTTTTCCCACAGCCTCTCCACTGTTATTTCCTGAGAAAGTATGAGAAGTGCAGCCTTTCTCTGCTTTAGTGTTTCTCTCATAGCCGCTGCCGTCCTCCACCCACGATGCGTCCTTATCTTATCAAATGAGACGTTGAGCTTTTTATGATCCGAGAGTCGTTCAGGTGGCCTGTGGTAGCCTTTCCGGATGCCTGTCATAATGCTTCTTCAGCGTCTTCAGCTGCTGTAAAAAAATTCCAGGTTGATAGAATCCTCAGAAAAATTCTTTCAACCCTGCTGGCTGATCCCCACCTCTGATATGTACCATTTAGATGCTTACATAGACACTTCTCAATGCAGGTACAAGCGAGGATGAGTTATGGTGCAGAAAAAAAAGTGAGGATACAAGAAAGATGCATCAGAGGCATCGATCGGAACCAAACTTCAGAATACTTGTGGGAAAACGATACTTTTTATTTATTTATTTTTTTGTGAGCTTTTGCTCTGAGATTGTAGAGTATGATGTGTCGGCTGATGAGAGCATTTTGAGTCCATGTTAAGATGAATCTTAAACATAAAACCGAGAAACTTGAAATGATCTGTTAATTTTCTGGAAGCACCGTAGGCTTTCAGCTTGGGCCTTTGGGTACAAAGAAAAAAAGAGCTTTAACATGCTTTGCATCCCTAGGGGTGAGTGAAGTCCATAATGTGCATGTAGGATAATGGACTGCCAATACGTGGAGTATTTGTGCCAGAGTTTGGATATAAAAGGGTAACGAAGCAAATTGAGTCTATAAAGTGCACTAACCCATCTGGTGCTTTAAGCTTTAACCCATGTGGGAAGCAACTGAGCGCGCTTTCAGAATGTCAGCCAAGACATGAACAGTTATTTGAAGGTCTGGCTGTAAACAAGAAAGTCCCCATATCTGATGCATTTCTTTTTTTTAAATTGAATTAATTGGTGACGCATTTAAATGAAACGGACCTTCAAATAAAGTGATATTCTGTGCTGCAAGAGTCAAAGGTGTAAGCGAGGCATCCGAACTAGTGAATGGACTGAAGGAGGCCGTGTCTTTGAGAAGGGTCCGTTGGTGCTAATCAATAAACTCAAGGCAGTTTCTCATGCTAACATGCTGTTTGTTGCATTTAGATTAATCCAAGTTTATCGGGGTTTCTAGATTTTTGCTTTCTAAGTTGTGTAAGACATGGCCGGACATGAAACCGTTTTCATCGTTTTGACCCTGGCCTCTCACCTTGCCTTAACCGTTGGTGGAGATGGGAGTGGCTAACCCGCGCTTAGCAGCAAGCAAGTTCAACCTCAGTTCCTTCTTTCAGGGTATCCCTGGAAGCGACGGGATACCAGGGAAACCGGGTTTGCCTGGAAACATCGTAAGTAATAATAGCGAGAGAAAGGAGGAGAGGTGGCTCTTATCTGCTGATTCAAAATGTGGGTCTTATGTATAAATGACGCAGAGGCAAAAGATGGTCCCGGTTTTCCATGTCGTTTGGGTCTCTAATTTATCCACTTGAGGTGTGAAATGGTGTGAAATGAATATTTTCTGTCATAATTGAAACATTATCTTTATACTCCTTCATGATTAAACTCACTGACCATTTTATTGGATACACCTTGCTAGTAAAAAGGCTGCACCCCCTTTTACCTTCAGAACCACATCCCAAAGAGTACACTAAACTCATTGACTCCTTTGACCTCTCGCATCAATATGACATTTTCATCCACACTACTGCCACCTACTGGATATTTGCTCTTTTTATGTAAACATTAAAGATGGTTGTGAATGAAAATCCCAAAAGATCAGTTGTATCCATATCCGTTTCCATCCCGCATTCAGAATCATTGAAAATCACTCCTCAATCTGGTATGATTGCAGCCATGTGATTGGCTAATTAGCTACTAATGTTAACAAGTAATTGAACAGGTGTACCTAACATAGTTCTTTTTAGTCTGTTCATCTTTACCCCGCCCTCGTGTGTTTGTAATGTCACCCATTTAACAGGTTACTGAACAATGCAGTAAGTATCTTGCATAAAATGCAAAAGCAACAATAAAGGGGTAAAAACATTAGGACAGCCGTGAATAAATAAATGGTTTTAGTTTGCATTTGGTGTCTTTTGTTTTGGTTTTTTGAAATGTGTCTATTGTGTCATTTCATTAAGAGAGCATTGCGCCACTTAAGGGGAACTTAATCTTTAACAAACAAATTAAAGTAATAGATTTGGGGTGAAAAAGGGTGTCCCATGCAGCAGAAGGTCTCTAGAAAAAGAGTTGATTGGTTGCACATTTAGTAGGACTTCTACTGTTAAAAGGCGCACATGGATTTTACCTGCATACTAAAATGGCAATACATGTGTGGATCATGTGAGGAGGAAATTCAATTTTACAGGATTTATCTGGTGTGGTGCTTAACCTCAAACCTATTATTGAATTGCTTTTTTGGCACAGAGTATTACATATACTCTAATAAACCCATATATCCAGATTTAGATATATAAATATATATATATATATTGAAAATCCTATTAGCTCCTTTTTTCGGCGGTTCTGCAGTTATTATCTCACTGGAAGTTTCAGCTTGGCTTGCTGGATGTTCAGAAGCTGATTTTTCTTCAGAACATAGCACGTTGCCCTAAGGTATGACTAAGCAAACTCTTAGAGGTAAAACTGTGCAGTGACGTATAATTATACAGAAGGTTCTTTGGAGCTAATGCAGAAGACCTCGGTCTTGCTGGTATGCACAGCTAATAGTGCACAGCATGAAATTACCTTCATAGTTAATAGCTGTAGTTTCTGAATAAGGTCAGATGGCTCTATAAAGGTGTTAAAAACTGAACAGATGGTACTGATAGAGGCACGGATCCCACTGCTTTTTAAAGAAATGTTTTATCAAGGAGCTGAAAATGTGTTTTAGTATGTTTTATAGCTAACTCCATCTCTCTCTTGACATGTTCATATCTTCTCATCTGAATGAGTCTTGCTTATATCATTGTCATGTGATTTTTCACAATTTGGTACTGAATCCTGCTCAGAGATGCTATGTTAATTGTCACCACGACATGGCTTTGGTTTTGTTCATGAGGTGATAATCTTCCCATTTTGTATGCACTTTCAACAACTCTGTGAAGTGGTATTATTTGGAGTGAAAAGTTTAATCACCAAAAAAAACAAAAAACAATGGCTCCCACCCACAATGATGGAGAGCCATCATCAATGGCTGCGTGCCATTGCTGCATCTATTTATTTTTCCAACATTTTCATGTTTCAAATTGACAAAGGTTTGTGTGCCGATGGTGAATGGGAGATTTTCACAATATGTCATTCGGTTTTGATCATTTTGACGAAGCTGAACTTGTTGCTCAGGTTGCACGTTTGGGGAAATGTTTTCCAATTCGGGAAACATAACTTCAAAGATTTATGTATGAAAGCATTTCCTATCAAAATGTCTAAACATACGTGTGTTTCGAAAAAAGAATAAGGTTCTCTTTTTAACTGTTGCATACAATGGATTATGTGATTCCGAAAACATGGGTCTGGCTGAGCATTACAGCATTTGGAGTAAACCACTTTGTGGTTTTTCCCAGCGTGGAGGAACTGAGTTTGATAACGTGTTCCCCTAAGCTGTTTTGGCGCCATGAGTTCTTAAATAAATGTTAACTGAATTTCCATTTTCCCCTGTAGATCTACCGACTGCCTCAAGACGCTACCGGAGTAACCGAAGAGGTAAGTAAAGAACAGCAAAGTAATGCTTTTCCGTGTAAAGGCGGATTTGCTGTCATGCCTTTTGGTTTGCCAGACTTTGGCATGACAGCTTCTGATGGGCATTCTTCGCTTATACACATATAAATGATCGCGTTTCTATGTGTATGAAACAGGAGGAATGTGAAGGGGGCTGTTCCCAAGGGTCGCCGGGAGTGCCGGGCATGGCTGGTGCCAAGGGTGAGAAAGGAGACCAGGGCAAGCCTGGGGCGACTCCTTTGGACAGCTGTGACAGGGTGAGACTTGGAGGGGGGGGGGTCGGTTGAACTATTTTTCACTGCATGATTCTGCCAACCCAGAATCACATGCAGTGCCACTAATGCTGCAGTGTCTTTTGTTGTTCTTCTTTGACGAATGCAAAATGACAGGCCATCATTTTGTATCGGCTATGAGTGTGCATGGCTTGGTGTGATTTTTTTCGTCCCCCCAGTGTGACAGTAAGGCTAACTTAGGATAACTTTTCTACTTTCAGTGTCTGGAGAGACTGCAGAGAGTGCAGGCTACGCAGCCAGCGGTCAGTTCATATCCCAGCAATATGAGGCATATGCATTCAAACTCAGAGTTGCAGAGGCACCTATTAATTTCTTTGATTTACAGGGCGACCGATTCAACACGGGAGCTCCTGGAGTTCCCGGAATTCCCGGATCCCCAGGCATCAAAGGGGACCCTGTGAGTTTTTCTCTGCATGTGCCTCACTTTGCTTAAATATGCACACCCGAACAGTCTTAATGAAGATAAGATTACATCTCCGTCTTCCTTCATCTTTACCTCAGGGCTCACCAGGAGAAAGAGGGACTGCTGGACCTCCAGGAATCATGGTAAGGGTTCATTTAAAACTAGAACAGGAATTGCATCCCAGAAGTTTGACAGAACTTCTTCTATAGAAAAGAATAATCTCTTTAGTGCCTTTGTTTTACAACAATATTTCTAGGGTTTTGTCTCAAAGCTTAGATTTGAACTGACTTGGCAAAAACACAAGTACATTGTCTACCTCTCATGGGCTCACAGAGCCCCCTGCTGGCGGAGTGGAGAATCTCTAGAGGCTACAGCGAGGTTCAAAGTACCAGCTTTCCAGACATTGTCTCTGTGTTGTTAATTATCTGAAACTTTTTATCCGACCAATGGACTCAGACTCATCTCAAGTTTTATAAAGCCGTCCTTTTATTTTCTGTCCACAGGGACCTCCTGGTTTTCCAGGTCCTCAAGGCCCGTCTGGTTCACCAGTAAGTCCAACACAAAAACTCACACAAAAGCAAGACAATACAATTAAGAGTATGATAAGTGTAGAAATCATTATGTATAAGAAATCAATTAATGAATATCACTAAAGTTAAGCCTAAAAGTTAGCATTTGCTGTGATCTTGAGTATTATCGCCACATTTTCACATAATACTGTGTATGATTAATGGAGTGGAACAAATTTACCACTTTGAAAATTAAAACTAGGAGCCTCAATCTTTAAGGTTATCGTAGAATATTTGGTTTCAAATTTGAATCTCTGAGGCGTAAAAGTTTTATTTATTTATTCATTTCAAAAGAGAAGAATAGAGCAGCATGAAATGAAAATCTTTATTAACCTTTTTTTTTTTTCCTGACTTCCCCTCTCCAACTCGGATCATCTCACTCCTAAATCAACCCGCCCTTGATTATTCCATCTTTGCCATCTCTCTGTCTCCCTGCCTCTGCGCTCTTTTTTAATGAAAGTTATTTCTGATGAGGAAACGATTTGGTTGTCTCTTTCTCTCCAGTTGTTCAATTACTCCGCCGTCAAAGAGATGGAAAGTGTGATGGCTGCGCAGACAGGGCCCCCCCCCCCCCCCCCCCACCCCATCCCCCTCCTGCAGATTTATTGTTTTAGGAGAATGGAAGTGCTAAATGGTTTAGCCGTGTGATGGCTGAATGGAAGCTATTTGCGGCATAGTGGCGCTTCATAGCAGGTGTTAGGTGTGTGTGCAGTGTTTGTGAGGGAGGTGGAGACCAGTGCAACCATGCCGCTGAATGTGGTATACTAACAATGAGTTACTAACAATGAGCAGCTAACCGTGGGTTTCGCCTCACAAAAATCGGTACGCTTTTTATCAATCACAACCATTGCAGAAAAAATTATACCATAGAAACTTATGACGATGCTCTTACTATTCAACAAGGTTTTGACCTTTTTTAAAGTACAAAAATATAATTTTCTGCCTTCATTTGCTCATTTCTGAAAAAACTTCACTACACTACTGGAGGTGTTGCTTAGCAACAGTTCTTAAAACTAAAAGTGCACATTTATAATTGCATCAACATAGCATTCAGAGCTCATGTAACACTGTCACATACAGGTTCTAATACACATTTTTGGCAAACCTGGGTTCAATTTCTTTGTTTCGCTTATGGAATTTGTGAAGTGGTGAAAGAATTTGGTTTCGTGGAGGAAAAAAAAGTGAGGACCTTCTAAAATGACCTGTGGCATTTGTGTGAACCAGCAGTCTCCCTTCAGTAATGGAGCAGAAGACAGCGCTCTACATTAGTTGGAATGTTCCACATTTCAGATATTGACTTAACTTGTCCTTTATTCTCCAACAGAGGAGTTACATACCTATCACATAATTTCCTTCATTTTCTAAATCTCCGCTCTCTGCTCTTATCCTCAGGGCCAGCAGGGTGAGCGCGGGTCACCCGGCCTTCCAGGAATAAAGGGCGAGCAGGTCGGCATCTGACAATCAGTTTCTGGGAAAAATTATAAGGCGGTGGAAAATAATTGGCTTCCTCGGTTGATTGATTGTATGATCTTTACCTCAGGGCCCAGCGGGGACTTCTGGATATCCAGGAACCATGGGTCCACCTGGAATGCCTGTAAGTTCATGCCTCATTATAAAAGACAGGAGCATAACAACATGCTGACAGCTTCTACAGGGTCACGCAGTCCTCACACACCGCTGTTGTGTGTTTGTCAGGGACTGAAGGGCGATCGTGGCAGTCCTGGAAGCGGTGGACAAAAAGGAGAATCGGTGAGCCACAGCACCGTCAGCGTGAACCGAAAGTCAATCTTCAGCTTGTGTTTTTTTTAATACTGGCTTTCTTTTTATTCCCTTCTTCAGGGTTCCGCTGGTAACCCGGGGTATCAAGGACAAGCTGGCTCACCGGTCAGTGCATCAACATAAATTTGTCTTCACAATATTTAGGGCTCGGCTGTTTGTAATATTCAAGTGTAATAACTCAGGAAGCATCCCGTGTCTGCAGGGCATTAAGGGAGAGACGGGACCAGCGGGGCCTTCTGGTCCCAAAGGTGACCAGGTATGTGTAACATAGCCGGTGCATTTACATGAAAAATGGTGACCACAAGAGATAGTAAGACTAATACATCACTGTTTTAAAATTCAAGGGTTTCCAAGGACAGTCAGGTTTCCCAGGACCACCAGTATGTAAACATTCTAACCCATTATTAATTATTTTTTTACATTAGATTTTGCACCAACTTTGATGTCTATTTTCCATGTGTTTGTAATTTAGGGTGCCCCTGGTCCCGCCGGAAAACCTGGAAGGGAAGGCTCTCCTGGGCTCAAAGGGGAAAAAGTATGTTAAAGAAGTGGGAAAAAACATTCTTTGCATTGAAAATCCTCCTGTGCCTGACTGAAGTACATGTTCTTAGGGAATTAATGGCCTTCAAGGTGCTCAGGGGCAATCCGGGCCCCCTGGCTCACCAGGCTCCCCTGGATTGATGGTAGGTGCACAATTTATATATATATATATATATATATATATATATATATATTCTATAGTCTATTCAAAATGGACTTATTCACTAAATGTATATTGTTTACCCATGTTTGCACTGACAGGGCCCGCCTGGCATTGAGGGAATTGATGGAAAAGATGGGAAGCCAGGGCTGCGGGTACCTTGCACATGTGAATCACTCTGTGCCCACGCGCATGCAGAAAATCCATATAAACAGTGTGTTTTAGCTTAAATACATGCGTTTAGTGGTTGAACCTTTGACATGATCTGTTGTATCATCATCAGGGAGAGATGGGCCCACCAGGCCCAGCAGGACCTCGAGGAATCCCAGTGAGTTTCATATTAACGAATCAACTGACCTGAACTTTCTCACCTCCAATGTAGAAAACATGAGGAGGCTTCATATTTATTACAAAGTGCAAAACAATATCCCCCTGAATAATTAGGAATACTATCAGTATGCATGAAGTACACTAATGGTATGTATTCACAAGTTTAATGTTGCATTATATGAATAGCATTTTTCTTGTTTTTTTTAAATATTCTATTAGTATCGTCAAGTGATATAAGCCTTACAAGTCATATTAAGTTTTTAGGACTAAGATGGCTTTTGTTATTAACAGTCATTAATTTGGTAAATTTCATTCAGATATTTTTGTTATTAACTGTTTTTTTCAAAATCCAGACTGTAAAGGAACTTTTACACAGCCATCGTTCTTCAGTCTCACAACGGGCACCCCTGTATGCAAATCAGCCGGCATGACTAACCCTGTGTCATTAGGAGACAGATTGGAAAAGATTGTTTGTTCACTTAGATATGAAATCAATATTCATTTGGCGACGATCGGATCTCCTAACCCACATGAGGTTTAACCTGCAGCGCTAAAAGCAAACGATGACGGAGCCTGACTGGTGATGTTTCACTCACCTCACCCATCCTGTTGCTCTGCATTAATATGTGCAGTCATTACTGAGTCTTGTTAACGCTGTAGATGTCACCAGTGAAGCGAACTCATTTAAAACTTCAAAGCTCCATATCATCTCCTTAGATTTTTCCTAACTTTCTTCATCGCATATCAACGGGGGGGTGGTGATGAGCCTCCCCTGTAGTCAGCTTCAATGAAGACAGGAGCGACGGCCTCTCAATCTCCCTCTCATTCTTCTTTAAAATGTTTTTTTTCTTTTTTTACGTCTTTTTTTTTGCAGTCTATATCTCGGTTTGTGTTCCACCCGAGAGCAGGTGTTGAGTATTTCAAAGGCAGTCTTGCTTCTAGTTTTGGCAGCCTTGACTTTGTGAATTTCTACGCCGTACCAATCCCGTTCTCTTTGATGTCTTTCCTCAGGGATTCAAAGGGAAAACTGGCCACGTTGGCTTTCCCGGACCAAAGGTTAGACTCCGACTCCCTGTTTACCATCACAGCGTGTAGTTACATCTGCCACTCTCGTTTCTGCGCTGGGCCTAATAACTCGATCAAACAGAACTGTCGTTTAATTGCTTGTTTTGGGGAGCGGGCTCTCTCCTTTAGTTACTTTTATGACATTTTGATTGTTCTCTCATTTGTTCAGGGAGAAGCCGGACTCGCGGGTCCACCGGGACCACCAGGCCGGCAGGGACATGACGTTAGTGTTTCCTCTTTACGCCAACATTGCCTAAATACACAAATCTGTAATCCGTTCATATAACCTCAGAGAGTCTGCATACATCATACATAGTTTCCAAAGCCCTAATGCTCATTTTCTTTATATCTCCAGGGTGATCCCGGTACCCCAGGAGCTCTGGGACGACCTGGAGCTCCAGGCCAAATTGTAAGCGCTAATCCTTGAAACATGTACATTTTCAATCTGTTTATTTTGTAATATTTTAGCATATTGAACTTGAATCATATGTTTACTTTCCCAATCAGGGTCCCTCAGGACCAGCAGGACCCCCAGGGCCCCCTGGTCCATCAGGCTTGGTAAGCGTGCACTGCTCAAACACGTCTTCGTAAACATTTGTTTATCAATCATTTGAGCAAGTGAACCTTAAATAATGCTATCTGGGAAATGTTGTGTTGCTCTGGAGGGGCTTAAAGAAAAGTCAGAGAAAGATAAACAAATGAGTGCTTAGGACAACAAATAGTAATACCATTAATTATAATTAGAGGAAATGATTAGAGAGGCAGCACAAACTGAAAAAAATAGATGGCCCGAGATAAGACTGTAGAATCTTAATTTAAAGATTTGTCACTTAAAATGAATGTGTCTTTAGAAAGGCCTAATGAATTATAGGCTGTGTAGTGTGTGTGTATGTGTGTGCCTGTGTGCGTGGGTGTGCATGTGTGCGCGTACACGTCAGTGAAGGTGAAACAGGACACATTTAAAATGCTCTCTTTCTGCCAAATGTTGAAAAATTAGACGAAAACTTCTTCTGCAACTTTTTCCTGTCATTGTTTCAGGGTATACCAGGAGATAAAGGCCAAGCCGGAGAGAGAGGTCTGCCGGGAATGGGTGGCTCTCCAGGGCCACCAGGGCATCCAGGACCTATGGTGAGTAGTTTTCTACTTGTCTCAAGTTCCAAATGTGAATGCCAACCATAAATCTGTGAATCAATATGCCAATATGTCTCACTTGACTCTTTTATGTTTGTTTTACTGCTTTGACTTTTAGGGTGAGCCTGGCAATGATGGTGCAGCTGGTAAAGATGTGAGTCATTTCTGTGCTTGCTGTTTATCCCCTTGAGAGTGTCATGCTTGGAGATTGATGTGGTGATGTGAATGTTTTATGGCTCTCAGGCATTAATATTCTAATCATGATGACTCTGAATAGTTCATTGTGATTAACCGCAAATACATTTATTTACAATAAATATTGCCTAATGCCAAATTATTAAAGGAAGTAGCATTGTTGGATGTTAACAATAAAAATGTGAATGAAACAATCATGAAGGAACATAGCTATGTGGAACATTGGAATTGATTTGATTATTCATAATCAGTCTATATATGAGCCAGAATAACTGCAAACGCACTTGGTTGTTGCATATGGTGACTAAAAAGTGTAAATACAGACCAGAGCCATTAATACAGACCATTGTTACAGGCCTGTAATAATGGATTGAAAACCTGTATTTGACTCCCCATGGTGCAGATTTTAGTTTGTCGTGTCAAAAGGATGGTCAGTGTTAGCGTTAGCTAAGGACATTTTTACCGTCCTACTTTACTCGCATGAGGTCAAACTCAATGATTCAAAATTCAGTGCTTCTTCATTTGCATTGTGTTTGGCAGTAGACACCATAACACCGACTGCTGTCCATAAATCTCCTCTGCTGTGATATTCATGAGTATTCGCTGAGACACAGCGACACAAAGAGAATGCTTTCCGCCGTTCATTAGACCTCACTAATGTGTTGTGCTGTTTTCTGGAACATTATAGCCAAGCATACTGCTTTAATTGGGTTAATCTACAACTATTCCCACTAGAATCCTTGGCATGGCCATTCCCATATTTTTCCTTGTTTTAACAGGGAGCTGCAGGCCTGCCAGGTGACAATGGGCAGCCAGGTCAAAAGGTAAGTGCCTATTGAGCAATGTAGGGTATTGTCTTTGTGTGTTTGTGTGTGTTGTCAATCCGATCACTATCCATCTAGAACATCTGCAGATGACCTGAGCACGGCGAGATACAACCCCTTCCTGTACAGTCGAAAGCTAGGCAGTGTTATGTTGGCACACCACACAGCTAAACACATTGTCACCCTTCGGCCATCGAGGCACCCACACTTAACACAGCCATCAGTTAACCCCCCCCCCGGCTAGACTGAACCCACTCCTTACTTTGATTCACACCTCCCTAAACAGGCAGCCAACTGCCTTCCATCCCGCTGTTGTATCTCTCCTCAAACAGAGGCTTACTCTAGGTGGGTCCGGCGATAGAGCTATTCCTCTGCCTCTGGGATAATGCTATTGAGCATGAGGGGGGATGCTAGATGAGGCTATTTGTCACGCTGACAGGACGGCATTGTCAGGGTTTTAGCCGCACAAAACAGAAGAGAAAGACAAGAACTGACTCCTCTATTCTTCTCACTCCTCTCTATTTCAGGAGCCGCTTGTCTGTCAGTGACGTGTAAACATTAGACGTCCATTATGGGCTGCTTTGTCCTCGATAAATCACTGTCGCTAATATAACGCCGCTGTTTTTAAGTGCATTTTCACTTCTGCTGAATGGTGAGCGCTGCTGTGCGGAAAGAAATGGAGATGTTGGCAAAAGCTGCTTAAGTGAAATCCATAAAGTGATGTCATGTTGTTTGTCTCTTATATTTAAAAAAAAAAAAGTAATATAATGAACAGAATTTCAAAAATGTTTACAGCTTTGCTTGTGTTGGTATGTATATGTGTGTGTGTACAAGCAAACACATATACACATACCCACACATTATATATATGTGGCCACGTCATTGCGTTGTCGCATTAATGTTGCCAATAATGTTTTTATTAGCTTGCTTGACTTTTTTAAGTGTGTATGTATGTATGTATGTATGTATGTATGTATGTATGTATGTATGT